GACAGAGTACAGTTATGTAATTAACTGTTGATGGAATACAATAATGCAGTTTAAATGACATCACTCTGCCTACTTTTTCATAGCAACCATAGGTATTACTGTGTGTGTCCTTTAAAGGTAACTTTCATTATAGTTATGGAGCTTCTCGTCTGATAATATCAGCCGCTCCTACTGCTCCGTGGCGATAACACGATAAGGTTATCTACAAATATATCAGTCCACAAGCAACATTTTCTGGAAATCACGCCAGCTAGGCCTAACATCTGTTTTTCCACACTAGTGAAGGTACGTAGCTACGAAGATTGTCACATAAAATTGATGCCTCTCCCTAAAAGCGGAGGTGACGTCTTCGTCGTCTCAGGTAGCTCAAAATAAGTTCCAGGAGAAAAGGAAGTGTTGTGGTCGGAGAGCACCGAAGGGCTGCCAAAGGGGCTTACTCTTTGCTCTTGCTATTGATATTTTTGGCATTCTGTCGGCAATTTGATTTAATCTGTATTCACCTCCCGTCGACGTTGCTAACCGTTATTTAACACTATTATTTTGGAAGGGTGGGATATATTTAGAATGTAGGTCAAGAAAGAGAAGAACCCAAGGGAAACTGCAAAGAGGAAAACAAGCTATTTCTCCCTTTTTTCTGCATCACCTCATGCACCCTAATTTCTGCTCATTGTTTTGTGTCGTAATAATGATGGTTTGTTTAATAGTTTGCCGATTGTGCAATAACTTTACACTCAATTCACATCTTGGATAAATGGATGTCTGTATTAATTAGAACATGTTATTTGTGTATTTACATTTGCTGAATGGATATAAAGGTACATCAAATAAAGGTGTTTTTCTTATTTTCTCACTGTACTATTTTGGGTGGACAGTTCAAATATGTTTTTGATACAGTTTAGAATAACTTCATGCTCAGTTCCATTACAAGTATGCTGTCTCGAATATTTCATGTTAGAAGTGATTTCTCAGAGAAAATACCAAGAATAATGAGGTATTCATTTCTTTATTCTATTCTCTCGTTTCTGCACAACTAACTTTTTGTGAAAGATTGTCTTTGCTTGCAAAAGCTAAAACACTCTTAGCAAAAGATCAAGATTTTTCTTCTAATTTCACATATCAACAACAATAACAAAAAAACATAAGTTATTCTTTCAAGAAAATTACAGTTTACTCTTTTGAAGATTCTTGTCCGTATTGTGTATTATCTCTTCCCTTTTACAATTTCACTCACATTAGAGGGGGTGCTAATTTCTAGTAGATGCGTCGGGTTACATGTGATCCTTGTTGTGTGGGTGTGCTGTGATCTTTCTATACCGTGTTTTGCTCATCTGGTTGAGATAAACAAGAGAAAAAAGCTTTTCAGTAGGTATACTGTGCGGATGAATAAGCCTACCTGTATACCTCAGAATATTTACCCTTTCTGATAACTGTGTCTTGGGGCTATACAGGCGTACGGTAGATGATGCTCTACACAGAAAATACCTCCTACGTAATAAAAATGTGTGTGTATCGTATATCTATATCCTTTTGTTGAAGAGCGCATCTTTGAAACACACTTTAATGTGTGCAGAAGCAGTACTTTTTATCAACAAAATATATATTTTTGCAAGTCTGGATAAAAGATTATGTTATGTATGTTCCAACCCACAGGGATATTTGGTTTGGGTATAATTAATAAAAATCTATACACTTAAATACACAAATAATATCTTAAAGGTACATGTATGTTATAATCATATTCACTTGGTTTGGTATGCTAAGAATAGTGATGTAATAATGAATCATGGTACTTGGAAATCTATTAGAATCATTATTTAACTTAGACATAATACACAAGTGCTTAATAATGCACTACTACAACTTCCCAAATGCACTTGAGTATGTGCATGTTTTTAATGGTGATGATGGCACGGTTAATTAGCATAGCGTAGTTATCAGATTGATCTCAATAAAGAACACATGTCTACCGCATGTCGATGGTCTCCTGAGGACCACAAGATCCTTAAGTCATATATCGTCTGTTTGGAGTCACAAGGGCATTAACTCATACATTATAACACAGTGTTAACGCCCCTCTAGCTCTTAACGTATTATGTATTCATAGATATCTTGGGCTGGGCTTGTATCCTCTTGCGATGCTTTCATCTTCTAATGTCTATTTATTTTTCAATACCTTTGGATGATGCAAGAGGCCTTCCGGTTTGGCGTAGGATGTTCAGTGACACAGAGATAAACTGATAAGATATTTATGCATTCCTTGCCTCTTGCATGTAACACTAGTGTACAAGGTGTGGGCAGTGAATTTCCAACCACCCCAAAGTACGACAAATAGTCTGCTGCGTAGTATCTTTTACATGCTGTCACATATCGAGATGAATTTTAAAAAATGTTATCTGCAGAGAGACAGATGGAGATTGAATGCTTTTGTTTTTTGCTCAGTTGAGGCAATTTATAAACTGAAAAGTAAAGATCTTTTTCATGTAGGTAAACCTGATATCAAGATTTGAGAAGGTGCGTGGGTAGGTGTGTGTGCGTGTGTGTGTGTATGTGGGTAAGAGAGACAGACAAATAGACCAACAGAAAAGGCGAGATGGAGAGGGAGAGGAAAAAAGAGAGATGGTGAAAGAGAGAGAAAGAAAGGATAAAAATATATAGAGCAAGAGAGGGAGAGGGAGGGTGAATGAGAGGGGATGGGGGAATAGTAAGAGAAGGTGGGAGGGATAGAGCATGCACCTTAGGCAGGGGAAGGAAAGTGGATTGATGTTCAGAGTGGTGCAATACATTTATAAGCTATCTCCATGAAATATATAGAATGAACAAATGAAGGAGGGGGAGGAGAAAGACAATTTTCAAGCGAAACTTCAATTCTTATTTATCCCTTTTCAGGGTGAAGCCCATGTTTGATCCCAGATGCAATGAGTACCCTTGAATGAATATAGCTCTGCAGTATTCAACAAATGTCATTGAAATGCTTACTACTCACAAACTCTCCCAGGTGACCCCCTTCTGCCCCTCTCATCCTAAGTCCCACTCAGTGTTTTGCCTCGGCTATTTTTAACATCCACCAAATCTAATATTTCCTCCCACGCATCTGACTTTAGTCTAGAGACAAAAACAACACGTTACTGCAAAGCAGCATGTCTCGTGCACGGCACCATCGTGGAAAAGCATCCATTTTCTTTGTAATTGATCAGAAGACATTTTAATTGCTAGAAGGGATGTCTCCTAACTTGGGTTTAATCAGGAGTGCAGAGGAGGGGATAATATAACCCTGCTAAATATAACAGCTTAAAATAGCAAACATCTTTCAGTATTCGTATCTCTGCAGTATTTTGTTGAAAATGTAGGATACTCTGAATCAATGTTTTCTCAAGATCTTGCAATTATTTCTAAGTTTCCTTAGAGAAATGGGTTGGCATGCCTTGCCCCTTTCTGGATATTATATATTTGTCTAGTAAAGATATGTTTTGAAATGTGTCAATCAATAATGCTCATAGATATTTGCATTACAGATTGTTTCCAAACATAATTGGATAATCCATTTTGATCAAATATTATTATGAAATCTTGTTAAAGGACATCATACTAAATCTTTATGTCTTTAGTTATTTTCCTTTCAATACCTTATCAAGACTTGCCATAATTGTGTCCACATGTTTTTCATCTACTGCGATGTTGTATTGAATATGAAATATATCATACTGTATTTCATGACTAAATATCATGGTTCTTTACTCAGTCAGTAAGAGAAATAAAAAAAAGTCTTTAATTTTGTTTAAATTGTCTTTAATGGTTGAGGCAAAACCACTTGATGAATAAAGACTTTCAATCATCCACTAAGATTCCCATAATGTCATCCAGTCAATTAATACGTGAGGCACCGAGGGGAAAAGCACGCAGTTGGGTTTGATATTCACAATTGAGGCTCCTTTGTGGCATTTTGAAATGCCAGAAAAGGTCATTGTTCTGATCTCGCGACTTAAGGAAGACAGACTCTGCGCCTTGCGGGCTTCTTAATGGGTGATTACGAACATTATGTTCCATTTGTTTCAAGCGTTTCCATCCTCGGTGGTGGTAAATGCCGAAGCTTCACCGGGTCATATAATATTTTATGCTTTTGACCTGAGGTGATCTAGTTCATTGAGCGAGAGCGCTGTAGATTACCTGACCCAGGGTTTATACTCTCAGCCTGTGCATTCCCTCTATAACAAAGCATCAATCAATGTATTGCCTTTCTTTACCCAGGGGAATATGCGACTTTATTAAGAATCTTTGGGTAGATTACAACATCTTACGTAATAATAACTCATTTCAGGTGGATGATCAGCCATTACTAATTATCTTCATTGTCAAAATGGCAGCCCTATTGTATATGTGTACTGGTAATGAGAGATTTACATGTGTTTACAGAACCAGAAGGGTGTTAACCTACATCCATTAAACATTGACTTAATGCTTTCTGGTTCTCAGCACATGATATGTGCTACACGCAGTGCATGTATTCATACGACTTGAAGAAGTTTAAAATTTAAGTGTAGGTATCATCCATTGAGAGCGAGAAGGGAGTCGACTCTCTGCCCTTCTGGCTCTCAGCAGACGATAAACTCCTGGTTCTTATGTTGTCTTTTAGGAGCCAGAAGGGCGTTAATTCATATGCACAGAGTTAATGACCTCCTGGTTGTGAAAAGATGATATACTGTCCGTTGAGAGACAGAAGGGCAATACAGGGTATCATTTAACACAGTGTTAACACCCTTCTAGTTCTCAACAGACAATTTGTGAATTTATCAACAGCCTATACACACTGACATCCCACTAGACCGTCAGCTTGGAGCCAAAAGGGCATTAACTCTGTGTTCAGGTATATCATTTAACACCCTACTAGCTCCAGACAGACAATACGCTCTTGGTCTCAGAGACTATAGCTGATTAACAAGCCTATCAACATAGGTATTTGTATTGGGTGCATCTGTTTATTTCATCTTGTGTAACCACAATTATTTTGTTGTATTTTTCAGGGTTCTGAGGATTCAAACTACGGCCGGCCCTCGGATTCAGACCTGTCATTGGATGAGGAGAGGGAAGCGCTCAGAAGAGAGACCGAGAGACAAGCATTAGCACAATTAGAAAAAGCTAGGGTATGTAAACATTTTCATGTCAGGCTGTGCCATTAGGTGTACAAATACTCTTTAGTACCGTAGTTGAACTTCCAAGAGTCCAATTTTGAATTTTCATTCCTTTGTTTACTTGTTGGATGGGGCATAAAGTATCTCCCATGTGATACCTCTGGCATACAAATGAAACCAATACCAGACCGAATCCAGACCAAATAAACAATAACATCACCTCCAAGTGCAAACGATTGGTTCGTTTCCGGTTCGAGTCGGTCACGAATTGGTTTGAAGGTGTGATTGAGGTATTAGCCATTCTCAGAATACATATTACTGTTTTAGTTAATCAACAAAATCATCAAGTTCATAATTTCAATTTTGGGATGGGATATGCTTACAAACGCAAGTGTTAAAGAAGGACAAATATACAAAGAGTGTTCTGGAGATTTTCTTTGAAAGGTGTCTGTGTTTCACACTTGTTCGTGAGGTTTCATAAGCATAAGTCCTTGCTATTAACATTTGTAGTGTTAATAAGTAACATTTATGGTATGTTTGACAGTATATGGATTATATATTATTATCTTGAATATATTATATAGTTATAGAAAAGCATGTTGTTCAGACCTCTGCAGTTAGAGAGAACATTTTTTATCATAATTAAAAAAATTATACGTTTTCAAGACTATCAGGTCCTTAGCACCTTATTCAAAAATCCCTCCTTCAGAGACATTGGAAGATATGTAAAGGATGACTGAATTAAAATATGAGATGCAGTCTATTTTAGGTATCACTTCTGTGTTAATCTTTTTCTTATTAGGTATATTCCAAAAACACTGCAGTAAATTTAGAATATGTTTTTCTTAACTTAAAAAGTAGATGATTCCAGTGGATACATTTTCATGTTTAAGTCTTTTTTTCCTTCTCTTTTTGCAGACAAAGCCAGTTGCCTTTGCGGTACGAACAAATGTAAATTATGACGGTTCAATAGACGACGACTCCCCTGTGCAAGGATGCGCAATATCTTTTGAAGTAAAAGACTTCCTACATATAAAAGAGGTAGGTCTCCTTATCCTGCTAAACTTTTTGTTTTTGTAAAAGGCATAGATTATCAACTTCATCTATTGTAAAGGAGAACAGTTAATGAATGTTACATTAAAGTTCCAGGCGACATGTACCTCCTGCATATTTGTTGTCTCTATGGTGTTTGGGGCATTTCACTATTTTCTTCAAAAAATAACTTGATTGGAGGAGCTGGAAAAATGATGTTTCAGAATGAAAGTACATTCAAAGTACAAAATCAAGGTGGTATATGTGTTACAAATGACGATTTACAAAATCAGTGAACCCTTTTTTTTGTTTTAGGTTAACTTTCACCAGCTTCACTTTTTGTAGTCTTTGTCGGACCGTTGTCATACATGAAGATAGAGCTCATTGTGATGTAGTAAAAAAAAATGAGATGGAACAATTTCAAATCAATGATCTTTGATGCACATGTACAGACAGTATGGCCCCTATTTTTTGCCAGATATTTGGAAGTAGTTATTATCATTACTATTAAGTATTTGGCGTCACCTGTGCCTGGGAAGCGAGAAAGCGAACTGAATCACTGTGACCCTCGGGTCTCAACTCCCGGTATAACTGATTGGGGTGTGCATGTAGACCATTACACCGGGTTTCCCCCTACACTTATACGAATAGTGCCGTGGGTTCTTAATGTGCAAAGGTGGTGGCGCTCCTCTACACAGGGTCTCCATTTAACATCCTATCCGAGGGACGGTTGTGTGATGAACATGTTTGATTTTCTTTTCATCCTGCAGAAATACAACAATGACTGGTGGATTGGTAAATTAGTGAAGGAAGGAGCCGATATCGGCTTCATACCTAGTCCAGCAAAGCTAGAGAACATGAGGTTACAAGCTTCTGGGACAAGAAATAGACTTGGAAAGTGAGTAGCGTGCATGATCGCGACACCCTCGTTTACGTTCTTTGATTTCATTTTGATTGAAGAACAGTTACAAACCTTAAGGTTGTGCTGAAAATAGGCGTATTCTGTGGCCTCGCAGGGAGGCCTTTCCCATCAGAACCCTTACTGGCTCTGAATGTGATGTCTGTTGAGGGCCAGAAGGACATTAAATTACATTTATCAATGCCCTTCTGGCTCTCAGCAGGCTATGGATGAAGTGTCATACACAATGTTGGACTTTCAACTTCTTATCCAGAAAAAGACTAGTAGATACTTTTTAAAAAGTCTAGTCAAATTTGTAGTTCATATCAGGGATACCATACAACAAAATGGATTAGGTACAGCAATTGAACTATTTTGTTTTCACTCACATTGGAGTATTTGTCCACAAATGTGCTTTAAAAGCAGAAAAGAGATTCTTCATGGTATAGAGAACTATGGTTCTTGCTGTTCATTTGAATTTTAATGTCCTTTTGCATCCAATGTATTCATGAATATTCAGAGCCAGTAGAGGAAATAATCCTATTTGTAACAAATTTACCCCCCTTTTGGGGGCCTATAAGCTGTGTGTCTATACACTCAAACACACCTTTTATTATTTGATATGTCTTTTGTCAATCTTTGTTTATTTCTGTTTGTTGTTTGTTTTCTGTGATGTTATTGTTTCTCTTATTGTGTGCATTGTGGAATGTGTTCTTAGATTGTCCCAAGTATCATTTTGGTACACACCTTTTGGGGTGTTTTTTCCCCAAAACTGAAATAACAAAGTAATTGAATAAAAACCTAAGTAGCTATCAAATCTAAATACATTAACAAGTGAATAAGCATTGATTGCAAAAATTATGATAATGCAATCTGGTCTTCACAAATTGGGAGGGTCCTTACCGCGCAGTTACAGAAATGGTCCAAATTTTGAAGTGGAAAATGATGTATTTTCCATAAGCATAGGGACATAGGTGTAAGATGAAAGTGCAATAGCACAACCATTATCAATCCCAGCCCTTTTTAAACCCTAACAAAATGTTCCACTTTATTTCCTTCACTTTTGATCATAAGGGAATATTGGCAAACAGATCTCAGTTACATGAGGAGGTAGGACGCTTTCCTTGTCAGCAGTTTGCAACTCTTTGACTTAAAAAAAAAATATGCTCAAACCAGTGGAGAAAAGGGAAAAGGAAAATTTATTTGAATGATTCTCATGGTGCGTGAATGTGGAAATTGCCCTTATGGAGTTGTTGCACCCCCCCCCCCCCTTATGGAGTATGTCACAGTCATTCCCTATGGCAAGGTGGTGGTTGCAAGTTGAACAAAAGAAAGGAGAAAATGGTTTAGAATTTCCCCAATTTGTTTTATTTTATTCAGTGCCTTTAAATTCCAGTTTGCTGTATCGTAACCAAACAATATTTCCATAAACTTCAACAAAATCTTATTACCCCCCCCCCCCCTACAACCTGCTTTCCAAACTTGCAAATGAAACGGTTGGCGTAATTTTTCCCTCAGTACCCTTCTCTCTGTTCTCTATATTTCCTCTGTTTTATTATGTTTCCTCTATGCCTTATTAGGTTGTCAAATCGAAATAAGAAAATAGCAAAACCCAATTGAACAATATTTGCTTGCATTTAGATGGTTCTTAAGATGTTTGTGTTCAGTTATTGCCAAAATGTGCATGCATTTCCCCATTTTTTCTTTGCATATGGCATGGTGCAAAGTACTTATTTGATTCTTAATTGCAGATTTTGCAATTTTCTCATATGAATCAGAAGGTTATTTCATAGAAATAGCTGACTTTAATGGGTGATAATTTGTAAAAACTTCATTTAGTTCTTCTTTTGAAACACAAGTGTTACTACCCTGATCAGACTTTTAGATTAGACTTATGTAGCAGTAAATTTGTTAAAACTTAGTTTTCATATGACTCCCTATAGCACAAAGACAATATTTGGGGGCTTAGTACAGAAGGGATATGATTAAAACGGTTTAAAACTCATAGGTTTGTAAAAGGATAACATTTGGTTTGCACTAAAGCATCAGATTAAGATTAAGAATAACCATTGACAGTGCTTTATTAGATCAGACACTGGTTAACATCATAACAGTTTTATAATTTAAGTCTTGGAAGTTTGGCACTACGCTTTATTTAATTTATGAATTGATGGGTTCGACCGAATCACTCGCATGGTGCTCATTCAAGGGTGGGGAGGTTACATTTGGAAAGAAATCCCTAAGCGGTCTTTGACTCATTGCTTGCTGGAAACCAAATGAAAGATCCAATATCCATTATGCCTTCTCTATGCTTGGCTATCAGAGAGAAGAGTTCATATTTATTTCATAAACCACATCACTGGACAGTCAGAGATACTCACAAGCGATATTGCATTATGCACAATGGCTTTCCATGTATGGCACTGCACACAATCATACATTGGGTTTTGGAGACAATCATCCCGTCCTAGAGACTGGCTGGCATGGCTCAGTCTTAAGAGGCATTCATAAGGTCCGTTCTCCCAGAAATGCTTTTAGCTTGAGTGGGAGTATAAATATTATATAGGATGTATTTATTCCAGTTCTAATTTATGCGATGTCCGCTTTGCCAATCCATGGCACGGTTGAACTATTCAAGAAGCTCTTTTCTGAGTTTGCGATATCTTCAATGTTTAGATTAAGGTTGCATTGTCATCGTATCAGTTATATTTCTTAATAAATTCCATTCCTTGTTAGAAATATATGTCTGATAATTTTATGTTCCTAACGGTTTCCTCCCTAAAAGATCAAAATATTATATAACATCCTCATTTCTGCTAGTAGATTAAAGCAGAAATCCATTACCGGTAAATATTTAAAATCACATCAACATAAGATATGAAACAGTTTATGATTTATTAGTATGTCCTTCCTTTCCCTCATATCAATCAATTTTAACTTTGTATTGCTACTACATTCACAAAACACAATTCATTCTGAAACAATCACTAATGTTGTTTGTGTCACTAGAGATTTTTTTACTGTTTTTAATGTATGTTCCACAATTTCCCTTGAAATTGGAATACTAGTATAGTAGTATTTTATTTGAACCCATAGGCTGACAGGAGAGCTAAGTTTATTTCTCTAATTTACTGCAAAGGTTCACTTTTGAGTATTGCCTTCTAACACTTTGGTATTTAGCATTTATTTGCTTGTTGCTATACTTATGATTTTTTTTGTAATCTGAAAAAACAGGTTGTTTTATTTGCTTTTAAATCTTTTTCTCTTATACAAGCAAAGAAACATATTTATGCGTGGTGTTATAATTTTGTTGATTTACTTTTACCTATTGTTCCTGACTAGTTGACAAATTGATTTTGGGTTGATCATCCTATGTTGATGATAACTAATGATTTCTATGATCCTTTCTTTTCCCCACCCTTTTTGTTCTTTTGTTTTTCACCACACCCTGCTAAATCCTTTTTGCTGAATTGGCATGATTTGAATTTTTAAAAAAAATGGAATGATGCTTTTTGCTTGAATGATGATTTTGCAATCACCTTTCTTTTTCTTACTATGATTTGTGTTAATTATTTTGATTTGCATGCATGTGCAAATGATTTTGTTTGTATCCTTTTTATCACGTTTGTGTTCGTGTGGTAATGCATGTTTCATCTTCATGAGAAATACATTTTTTTGTACTTCTCAACGAAATCAACATTGGTTGATTACGATCACTTTTTTTATACATGTTTCTATGCACTGTGTAAATATTCATGTCTTTGTACTCAATAATAATTCCTTTTTTTTTTTAATGTCCCGACACATTTTATCATGAATCGATTCATCTTTATTCAATGTTTTGGTTGCCTTGTTCTGGATGACACGCCCTCATTTGCTACTTGATCCACACCTTGGCGTTATATTGGGCCCTCCCCCTTCCCCTCAATTTTATCCAAACAAACGCACCAACCAACAATTAAACGCCCTCAATATTATCCTTCCTTTCTTCCTTCTGTCCTGCTGAAATCATTCTCATGTTCTTTCTCCTGAAATAACAATAATATTTCAATTATTTCCCAATCAAATAATCTATTCAAACACTCCTTTTTTCCCCTCATCTTATTTCTTTTAACCCTAATTTCCATTGTTTTTAATTGAACTATCATATTTGAATAATACTTATCAAACCAACTATCCAATTTAATCAAACTAAAACCAATTTTAATCACTTTTGCCCTCAAATTTCTTATCTGATCTGTCTTTCAAACATTTTTCATCTTAAATGAGGACATTTTGCCTGTTCCTCCTCCTGTGTGTTGTGTCTAATTTGATTTACCTTCTGTAACTAATACATTACATGTTTATCTTTCAACAACAAAAATCATAATTGCTGTGATAACTAAACCCTGCGTGTGAATATTTGCACGCACCTATTGCTGTGGATTACTCTATATGTGGAACCAACATTATTTTTTAACCGATCAACCGCTCCTGTATCCTATATTTTTGCCATTTAAAAAAAATACAATCCTCCCTTGATGTCCATTATCCATTTCCGTGTCCTTTCTTGTCCATACCCCCCCCCCCCTTTCTCCACCTTCTTTATCTGTTATTTGTACATTATATTTTCTTGCTCCATTCTTCTCTCTCTCTCTCTCTCTCTCTCTCTCTCTCTCTGTCACTCTCTGTCTCTCTTTCTGTTTGTCTCCTTCTCTCTCCATTCTATCCATTTCCCCTCAATTCTCTTCTCCATTTATATTTTTGGCTCATTTTCCAATTAATCATTTGGACTATTGATTAATTATTTGTTTAATTACTCTGGTGTCTGGATATTCATGATCCAATGCACCTTTTTTCAAATTTCAAATTTAAACATCTTTACCTTTTAAAAATCCCTAATTTACAATTATCATTATATCCCTAATCTAATTCAAACCCTACATCATACTTCCAAATTTTGAGACCTCTCCCCGTCTTTGTTTCCTCCCTCCCTGTTTGGATTTTGCTGCTGGTACCCTGTTTTGCCTCTAACTTGTGACCCATCCATTCATTATACCAACCCTTCTCTTTAACCAATGTCAACCCATTTTTACCATTTTACCCTATTCTAACCCAAACTACCATTTAACCTGATCTTCATTTAACTGAAACTCCATTAACATATTTCATTTGTAACATATTTCATCCGTAACATCCTATATTCTATTCTCACTTCAAATATGACACCATCATCATACCCATCGTGTCATATGTGAACTCCCATCCATCACACGGGATGCTGGTCTTTTCACCCCTTTTACACTCGATGTTGCCCCCCTCCCCAAGTAGCAGTAACACCATGACCATCCCCTCCTCCCCTAGTAGCAAGGGAAGCCTTTCTAGCTTCCCGGGCCTGTCGTTCCTCCAGAACAAGGCCTCCACACTCCCTCTTAACGCTAGTAAGACCAACCATTTGGCTTCCCCCCGTCACAGCAGGTCCACCAGTGGTCTCAGTTCTAGCTCCAACCTCGGCGACTTCCCGACTGGACTGCCCAACTCAAAGTCATCCAACAATTCAAGAGGGTCCACGCCCCCCACTCCAGGTGAGCCTACAAGTCTTGTGCATGTAAAGTTAAAATTACATGCAACTTTTATAAATCAAACGAAACTTCAGAGACGGATCCAGGATTTTGTTGGGGAGACAAAGCCAAGAAATGTCATTAAATGGGCATTGTTTTCTTTATTGTGTTTGTACAATATGCAAATTGGATTCAAAAGGGTCAATGGGCTAGTCGTGCCCCCCTCCCCCATCCACCACTCCAACTAGAATTTCAATTATCAAAAATACCTAGGACGTTTCACCGTGAGAATTACAACCAACATTTTGAATAGTAAATATATTGAGCATAAGTTCTTGTAAAAATGAGGATGTTATCATTTCCAGGGGGTTGATTCGACTCAACTTTGATAGTATGCAACAAGCAAGAGGCCTTTAGTTTTCAGCCGACATTTTCTTTTTTGTAGGCATATCTTACACAAATATATTTCAGTCGGCTGTTGTTTATACTTCAAAGCAAAGCTAGGCCATACCATTTCAGACATCTGAAGGCTTTAGAAGCATGACTGAATAATTCATAAGGGCAAACACTCCTTCTAGTATGGATGAAATCTTGAGACTAAAAGCACAGGCATCTCCATCAAGCATACACAAAATTTGAAAGGTCGAAGATTCAAATCTTTAAACGGGATTTTCCCGTCCTAATATCAAGCAATCAAAATCTTTCGTTTAGCCTAAATAAGCGTTAAGCTTTCAATAGATGTCAATACCCAACTGTACTGATTATCGTGATGAGACCACTGAAACCTAAAAACATGTAGCCATGATTCTTGAAAACATTTTGCAATGACATTTATAAAATGTATACAAAAATAATGGGACAGTATTGGCAATAATAGCCAGTCAGTAAGATAAACAGATGAGGGATTTTCCCCTCCTAATATCAAGCAATCAAAATCTTTCGTTTAGCCTAAATAAGCGTTAAGCTTTCAATAGATGTCAATACCCAACTGTACTGATTATCGTGATGAGACCACTGAAACCCAAAAACATGTAGCCATGATTCTTGAAAACATTATGCAATGACATTTATAAAATGTATTCAAAAATAATGGGACAGTATTGGCAATAGTAGCCAGTCAGTAAGATAAACAGATGAGAGAAAAGTTTGACAAGATGTCGGTGTGAATTGACTGTGAATTATCAAATGTCAGTGCATGTGTTGAAACTCTGTACGAGTTGGAATCAAGGAATAGATCTGAACATTACCCTATAACCTTTGCCAATACTGCAAAACATCCAAGAACGATGCCACTTAAGGTTATGCAACAAAATATCCTTCTAGGCGATTACCCAATCCTCCATATTCGTTTTCTCTTTGAAATGTTTTGAAATGTTTCAAACTTGTTTTTTTTCTGCATTGACATTTGTAAAATGTCAGTCCTGAGAGTGACTGAAAAGTAGCAGATTAGCATAGCACCCCTTGGGTATTAAAGCAAGACATTATACGAACACCGATATTCAATGGAAGAGAATGTCAGATCTTCTTTCTCTGCCCTTCTTGCCTTGTTCTCTCTCTCTCTGGTTTCTTTCTTTTCCGTGGGCCATTGAAGATGTCAGATGAATCCACAATTATCCAAAGATTCCAAAGTCTCCTTTCGTACTCCTCAGATGAGAACCCATAAAGCTCTGAGTAAAGCTGATGCTGGGGCTGTTTTTAGCTCACTGTCAGAAACATTTTGTATGTAAAAACAGAAAATACATAGTCTGTATATATGCTATGCCCTTTTTAAAAATTCAAGTTTTGCCTGCTGCATTTAAGCTCCTTATGCTCCATCTAAAAGTTAATCAGTATTATATAAAAATTGGGTTGGTACGAGGACTTAACTGTTACATACAAATATGAAAGCTGGTTGGCTGTTGGTATATGGGTCACGCACTGAATGTCCGCTCTTGTCGGGGAAAATGAATAAAGCATTGGAACAGTAAGGACTGTGTGTGTGGGACATAATTGGTCTCCTCTCACAAACTCTTCTATATAAATCAATAATAATTGAATATGATAATTAAGTTATTTATGTCTCTGCTCGATAGATGGGGACCAGAATGGGCTGGAGGAGGACACAGGCGATACGCTAAGTCGGTCAAGAGGGAGCACGATTTCGCCACAACCTAAGGAGAAGCGTAAACCATTCTTCAAGAAGGTTTGTCCACTTTAGATGACTCTCTGTAACATTTTACTGTCAAACCTGTCTATAGCGACCGCCCAAAGGAAACACAAAAAGTGGTCGTTGTAGACAGATGGTCTTTGTAGACAGGTTTCTTTCTAACATGTTTCAATGAGAAACCATTTTCATGGGAAACAAAATATGTGATCTTTGTAGACAGGTGGTAACTAAAGCAGGTTTAACTGTATTTTGTTTGTGCTCAGGATAAAATGCAAAATTAGATCAACTGTGACAGCAGTAAGGTTATAAACCTTATTAATTTAAATGAAAATGTTGAAAAGCTCTTGATGCAATCAGATTTATCCCATGATCTAAGGTTCTTGGAGGGTTAAGTGTTTTGGATTTTATTAAACTTAACTACCTCTTCAAGATTTAGTCAGCACGTGCTTCTTTGCAACTTATGCTGGTAAATGTGCACAGGAAAAAATGTCACATTCTATATAACATGAATGACAGAAGGTCTGGAACCTTGTGTTTCAAATGTTGAAAAGATTGTGATGGAACATGTTTTGGGTTCCATTTTGGGAAGTTTTTGGTTTAGATTTAAGTAAATTAGGTCAAGTGTTTTTCAACAATCTTTGATTAGCATTTGCTCACGCTACAATTTATGCAGGTTGTTCTCGGGATAGATGTCATATGCTGAAAAGCTCATTTTGCCACCAATTTTAAATTGAGGTTGCATAAGGCGGAAAGTATATATGGTTCCCACCAGCATAAAATACCCTTCATTGTAAAAAATAATTTGTTGTTTTGTTCCAAAGAACACTATTAGAATTTATTATTGGGAAAGTTGAATTATTTTATAGTTAGTGTTGAATTTTAGCTTACCAGAGAAATGTTAAAGTTTACCTTGGCTCTTATGCAACTTTCGAAACATTGAATCGCTCGCCAGTCCCATGTATTGTTCTCAAATAATGAATATAAATTCCAAAAGGAGTGACGGTATTGACATTTTCCAACATAACATGATTGAAAAACAAATATAATTATTATTCATCCTACCAGACTTGTGGTTTCCTCTCTAAGGTCATGTCAAACATGACAGACAGTAAGACACCTAGAAGGTGTCAAATTGAACATATGCTTTGACACTCTGAATTGAGCGGAATTTCATGACATATTAAAATTCGTAGCTCAAATACATATGTTTGATATCAGACATGCTTACATTGTAGAACACTGTACACACATGTTCATGTATATATTCTTACCCAAACAGTGGGAATGAAAATACTTTTAGTGTCACTGTTTGTAAAGTACCATATGCAGTTTTTAAAAATATCCAGCTTGTCTAGCAATATATGAGTATTCCACAGACCAGCCAATATTTCTTTGACTAGACCTGTACATGCATGATAAATATCCATTCCTGTTTTTTTTGCAGACGAAAAATGTTCCTCCCCTTACTCTAATACATGTAGTTAAAATTTGGGACCCATGTGTACTAAATGCTTGTTAGTGTTGAGATACCGTTTCAGATACTTTCCGCAATATATTTTTATACATTGCCTCCTGTAAAAGATTTGTCAAGTTTGTTTATCATTAACTTCTTGTGCCATGGGCTTGGCAATATTCCTTATAAGGAAACTTGTACATGATTGATAAGTATTCATTGATGTTTTAACTTGCAGACCGAGAATGTTCCATCATACGACGAAAGCTTAAGAAAGCTAATTCAGCCTTTAATATTGGAGTACATGTATGTGCTAGATCTGTATCTTTTTAACATTTCTTTTTTTATTTACATGTTCATGCACATGAATGTATGGATGTGTGATAATTATTCATTTATGTCGTTCTTGCAGACGGAAAATGTTCCTCCATATGATGTGGTACCGTCGATGCGACCTGTTGTACTGGTTGGCCCCTCACTCAAGGGTTATGAGGTCACTGATATGATGCAGAAAGCACTCTTTGATTACTTGAAAAGGAAGTTTGAAGGAAGGTAAGACCCGCTTCCCCCATTTATCAATTACAGTTAGCTCCGTAAAATCTTAAGTCAAATTTAAAAAACAAACATGTAATGCAAAACATGCATTTATTTACACTTCCTAAGACAAATTTTGGATAAGTCACACTATTTTGCACAGTCCCATAGATTCGACTTATGCAGAGTTAACTGTATCAATATTCCAATTAAATCTTTGGTATAATTTGGGAAACAGTGATATGTAGCACATAGGCTGTTTGCTAAGTATTGAGTTGATGATGTCATCCGCTTACTTTTTTCTATCCATTACGTACGTAAATTGAACAAATTATGTGATTCATTTAATTTTAATTTTAAGTTTAATTCCACAACTTTAGTATTTGTCATCTGATTTTGATGAAAGTTTCACTGTTTTGTTCGTTAAAGTTTTCTCTATTCGTTCAATTCATTTGCAAATAAATGGGCTGGATTTGCCCTTTAAGGGGACAATTTCATACTTAGTCTGATTAATAAAGATTGTAGGGGTCTTAACTCTAATTGTTCATTGTTTGACCTCGCATGGTAGAAGCCAAAAAGGAAATATGATCTTGTGGTACCTGCATAAACCATATTGTGGGAAGGATGCCCTATAAAAAAATACATGCATGCTGGTATATAGGACCATCAACCCAAGTAATGATTGTTTATGGGTCATAACTAAAGTTTTATCTTCTCATGTTACAGCAGTAAATGGTCTGTTTTGAGCCAAAATGGCATTAACTGGTTAAATATAAGTATATTAGCTGGTATACACCCTTCTCACGTATGCCTTTTCCATGTGGCATATGTTGCCTAGGTGTCCAGTTTCTATATATAGAGAGTAGAAGAGAGAAAAAGAAAAATGACCTGAACGAATTTCTTTAATCAGGTAATTTTTTCAATATGGATATCCTGAGTTTTTCATGCAAGGGTGTTGTACATTTGTACGTGGAGCATGTAACATATTACATTGTTATTGATAGCAGAGAGCCAAAAGTGTGTTTAAATAACTCGTGTAGACTTAATTGAAATAGACTTAATGTCCTTCCGGCTCTCAACAGAGGTTATGATTTGATATACAGTCAAACCTGTCTACAGAGACCGCCCAAGGGAAACACAAAAGTGGTCTTTGTAGACAGGTGGTCACTTAAGCAGGTTTGACTGTATTATGATTCATTAATTCATTTTATTTTCAATTTTTTTTTCTTTCTTACACCAAGGATTTGCATCACACGTGTGACAGCAGACATTGCCCTTGCCAAGCGGTCAGTTCTCAACAATCCCAAAAGTCGGCAGATCATCGAGCGGTCAAATAGTCGCTCATCCAGTATAGGTAAGGCCCTCGCTGGACAGAGAGTTATAAAAGTTGCTGGGCTCTTTCCCCTCTTCAGACATCTGTCATATAGCACTTAGTAAAGCGGATTTCAATAAACATTATAACTAAACTAAATTAAACAATCCAGAAATTTAAATCATTGAGTGGTCAATTGGTAGTTTATCCAGCATATGTAAGACCCTCAACTGTGGGTGAAGAAATGTGACCTTTCAATGTTCTATCCAATTACAGTGGATATTACTTCAAAGTATAAAACAAAAGATAATTGCTTGAGTATTAAGAAACCGTCTCATTTCTCGCAGGCAGTTTTAGAGAAGTGAGGATAATATTATGAATTTTACTGTTGTGCTATAATATTACCACTATGAAATTCTGTTGTAATGTGTAATCCACTTCTGTTAATTACAGCTCATTTGAATAATCTACAGCTTTCTTCTGGTAAAGGAATAATATTAATTGACAAAAAAAAATATGGAGTAATACTGAAAACAACCTAAAATATATGCATCATTAAATTCATTTTCATAATTCTTTTGAGTCATGATTAATCAAATCAATTAGGTTTGCTTAACATTATATGTATAACACAAAACAAATGTTGTGATATATGTGTTATACTTGTACAAGTGAAAAAATAGAAGGCTTTAAAAATAGACGGATAAATTGTTGGGCGTGGTGTGGAGGTGTATGCATAGTGCATGCCTGGGTTGATGTTCATACAGTTTATTGAGTATTTATTGAGCGACGGAGACGGGTGGATAACGTGTGAAAATGTAATGAATAAATGAGGGGACTCTAGCCAGACAGAAACAGTCATATCATACCAAGGGCATACCAGAATGAAAAAAGACGCACCCCTCCCTCCCCCCAATCCTCCCTCCCTCCTCTTGCAATTCCAAACGAGAAAAGGAAACGGCCCCCTCGCTTGCCGAACACCTAACTCGGAGTGTCATTTTATTTCCATTATCGCTTAACGGCCACTGGATTTCACGGGTTCTTATTTCTAATTGTAGTATGAATAAAGCAAGGCCGTAGTCATTGAGGGATACCAATGCACAATGCCACAGTGGGTTCCAATTAGTGAAATTTGATATACTAGCTGTTAAGAGAGAAATTGGGATGGTTGAGTGCATTAGGAGGTCCTCTGTGAGGTAGAAAACGGATGTATGTTTTTTCATGTTCAACTACCGGTAGTAGAGCTTGTATGAGACATTCCTTCACATAGTTATAGCTTAGAGTTGGGCAATACAATGGTAGTCGTGTAGCCATTTTTCTGTCTGTAATATACACATGTACTAAGCCAGCTTGTTTCTTATTTCACATTGGCAAGAGCGTGCAATATGAAGAAAAAAATTATCATACTCCTAAAAGTTTTACCAAATTTTTACATCATAGAACAATCTATTGAATCTGAAATAACTGGCATGCAAATTTTATTATGAATGCTTCAATGGCCAAATTTGTTTAAATGCATTGTCATTATAATATCAGAAATTCAGAATTAGTGGGAGAAATACATAAAAAGATGATTGTTTGTATGAGAAATTTATAAAAAATTGACATAGCTAGGTTGTTTTTTATATGATGAGTGGTTGAGTGATTAAATAATTTGGTTTAAAAGTTTGCATTCAAATTTGAAACATGTTTATCTAGGTAGATTGGCTTAATCCTTTCGTAGTGGAGTTATCTGAAAACGTTTGGTACATGTAGTTCCTTCAATCTTTAGTTTCCAGTATGCATTTTGATTAAAAACCATAAGGCAAAACGATGTTCACTATTCCATAAATATATTGATTTTGCTGTCTTGATTGGGTAACTTCAGGATGAGATATGAACAGTCATGTAACAATATTTAACAGTAAAAATCACTGTTTTCACATTTTTCTCTTCCAATTTTTCCATATCTCTCTCTCTTTCACTATTCCATAAATATATTGATTTTGCTGTCTTGATTGGGTAACTTCAGGATGAGATATGAACAGTCATGTAACAATATTTAACAGTAAAAATCACTGTTTTCACATTTTTCTCTTCCAATTTTTCCATATCTCTCTCTCTTTTACAGCTGAAGTGCAGGCGGAGATAGATAGAATATTTGAGTTAGCGCGTAGCATGCAGCTTGTTATCCTGGATTGCGACACCATTAATCACCCTAGTCAGTTGGCAAAGACGTCTCTTGCCCCAATCATTGTCTATGTCAAAATCTCGTCTCCAAAGGTATATATTCCAAACTTGTTATTACACCTGACTGTTTAATGCCGTATTGTCTACTGAGAGCCAGAAGGGTGATAGTTGACGCATCATTTTACTGAGGATTAATGCCCTTCTGGCTTTAAACAGTTAATATCATTTGCTTCATAGAGGCTGATGGGCATTTACTTGGGTCATTTAACTCAGGGTTAATGCCCTTCTGGCTCTCAACAGATAATATCATCTGCTTAGAGGCTGACTGGCATTTACTTTGATCATATTACACAGGATTAATGCCTTTCTGGCTTTCAAGAGTCGATAAGTTTGTCCTACGACATACATGTGTATACAAGTCATGTATCATTGGCTAGGAGTCAGAACATGACACTTCTTGCACTTAGCCGATGGTAGTGTTAGTTGAGAGCCACACGGTCATTAACCCTATGTAAATTGAAACCAGTATCCTTGCTTTTAGGATATTATATGATCCCCAATTTTTAGGAAAACTTGTGCTATATTAAGTCAAATAAACGCTTTTGTTTAATAGCGTGTGAAGTAATTATGTCAATCAACCTTTTACTACCAGTGTATATTACCAGTAGTGCCATGTTATTTTTAAAGTAAAGCATTGAGTTTCCGACACTAGATAGTATTGCATGTCAAGAAAATTATATCGTGAAATAAAATCCTGAAAAGAAATTTGTTTAATGTTTGATTGGAAAATGATACAAAGTGGCTGAAGGGGCAAAGAAATGTAAAAGTTAAAGCCAAAAAATATCTGAGTACCTTTTGTGATATGTTAGGCTTACCGCTAAGAGACTTCGGTGGTAAGCGCTTCATAAGCACCTTTTTTATGATTATTATTATTATTATTATGTTTCTGTATCTTCTCTTTTATAGGTACTACAACGGCTAATAAAGTCACGCTCAAAATCCCAGAGTAGAAATATGAATGTACAGCTAGTAGCATCCGATAAACTTGCTCAGTGTCCACCCGTAAGTATACCTTAATATGATTCATTCTCTAAATCCTGGGAACGATGAAAATTCCCATATTTTAGGTATTTGAGTGATAAACACCACCAACTTGAAATTCTTGCATCATATTAAAAAATGTACATGTGTATGGGAAAGATGGTGTAGAGAATGATGGGATATTATTCCATACAGTATGTTGGAGACATTAAACTACTGAAGAAGATCAATGTCCGAGACATGAAGAAGTGGAGGGAGGGAGTGTCATCAAACCCGGGAACACCTAGTAAGAGTGAAAATGCTGACTTTAATAAATGAAGTTGCTGATGATAATGATGACACTGATGATGAGGAATATTGGAAAATGTTAAGTGCAAACCAGCTTGGAAAAACAGATTCACAAATTATTGAAAAAAATAAAGAATAAAAAATCATTTTGGGTCACTTTATGGCATAAAACCTACAGTGTACAAGTCTCATGAATATTCTCTTCCAATATGTGTGCTCTTTGTTTGTTGTAGGACCTATTTGATGTGATCTTAGATGAGAACCAGCTGGAAGATGCTTGTGAACACATGGCTGAATACCTGGAAGCATACTGGCGGGCCACCCACGGGCCAGAGCCCGAGGTCCCTGCTAAGGCAGGCCCCCAACATAACTCACCCATGCATAACATTCTACAGCGGGTAGGCTCACACCGTAGTCACACGGAGAAGCCAGACAAGAAGGCGGACTACCACCATCACAACAAACGAGGCAAGGACGAGTACGACGGAAGCGACCCCAACGAGCCTTACGAGAGCGGATACCGCAGTGATTCCCGGGAGCATCCGAGTGATTACATAAGAGATGATAGGGACGCTCGCTATAACCAGAGGCCCGTCTCGCCCACGGACGGCAGAGGGTATTTTGATAATGATCGGAGGGATCGCGACAAGGATAGAGACTATGATTCCCATGGAGGAAGAAAACATGTGAAGGGAGACAGGACTCGTGATGTGGAGCGAGGCCCGCATGATAGAGGGCCTCCTCGGGACCGGGATAGGAATTATACCGAGCGGGACGCGGTCAGGTACGAGAGTGAACATCCGAATAGACCGGAACAGAGAAATCGCTATGCAGACAGAGAACGTGATCGCTACGACGACGGGCCAGGTCATGTCAGCGAGCGAGGGCGGTATCCACCGGAGAGGGGGTCCAGCTCTCGCAGTCGGGAGCACGAGATCGAGATGGAGGAGATGTACGGTAGGCGAGGTCGTGAGGGCCCACAATACCCCGAGCAGTACCATCAACGGTACCAGGACTCTAGAGAGCGGGCACGTCGTGATGCCTCACCGGGTCCTCGTCAACGCATGGCGCGTCCCTGACGCTGACCTCCTACCTCCGCCCAGCCCAACACGGCGGTCTCATTTTATTTTGGAAGTTTCTTCAATGCCAGTAGAGCAATCTAACTCCATGTTGAGTTGACATCTCGTACTGCGAGCATTGAATTTATGTGTTCCAGCCAAGTTGTACTCTCAACAGAGTTCCTGCAGCAGTCAGTCGTAGTAGTCCAGCCTTCTTTCTACTACCTATTTTCTATGAAAATGGCTGTGTATGTTGGAGTTGCCTGATTTCTGATAGTTTTTTTTTTATGCTTCTCTAACTTCAGATCTTTTGAATCAGAGCATTCTGCGTACGGTATTATGTGAGAGAGGTATAGGCCTTGGATTTGCTTTATAGTAAAGCATTTGGTGGCGGCTTGGTGTTGGGTCTTGTCGGTGTCAACCAGTGGTCATTTGAGAACCACTTGGTTAGACTCAGTGAGGCAAGAGATCATAGTGTATGATCCATGTGACCACATTTTCACTCCAACCATGCGACATCTGTTTACCAACCAATGATGTCAAATTTTTGAGGGATTTTTTGAAAGCAAGATTATTACTCCTCGCGTTAGAATTCAAAAGAAATTCTTGTGGAATGGGAAGTGTTTGATCTCTCTCTCTCTCTATCATTTTGTGGTTTCCAAGTTTTTCAAGATTTATTCAGCATATTTTTGGGGTGATCAAATTACTATATTTCTGACGTTTAGACATATATCATGACTTGACTACTTGGACAGAGCTCATGTTAGGTAGTGTACGACAACTAACAATATTTGAGAGTGTTTTTAATATCATCATCACAAGGTAGCACACTGTGATACACGTGTAGTGTACACACACACAAACACACACACTCACCCACATAAAACGGCAAATGGCAATCATAATTCACAAAACGGAGTGAAGTGAAAGTATTTGGAGAAGGTTCTTGAGAAACATCATTGTCAAAATATTTGATGATGGGTTGAGTTTGGACAGATCATCCTGTGGGTGTTATGATAACCTCTGCAGGCAGGGTTCTTTGTATCACATGATTTATGACATGATGGTCACATGATCAGTCTGTATCAATTCCATTTTTTTTTTCCACGGTCGGTCCGCAAGCTTTGTAACTTTTGTATAAATGTGTGAAGAACGGTAGAGAAAAAATTGTTTTGCTTGAACTTTTATCTTGAAGATATAGAAAAAACCTCTGTCAGTCTTTTCCAACAATTTCACCACATAACCACACTTGATTGTGTGTTTTGTAACTATTTTTTCCTTCATAAATCTAATTCCTTTTTGTTTTCTGTTTGCTTCTCTCCATCAATTCAACCCTTTTCTTATCCCCTTTTTGTTGAAGTCATGTATTTCTGCACTTTTCTGTCTTTTCAAACTTTTTTTCCTACAAGGCATTCATAAATATAGAACATATACATGTTTATAACATATTACATGTTTGTGCCATGTCTGTGTTGTAGAAAGCACAAGATTTCTTCCATACATACGACAGTGTTCTATTATATTCATTAATATGGTTGACAGGCGAGGTCCAGGATTGGTGTATCTTTGCATGAAACAAAGTACAATTTATCGTTAAAACAGTGTGTGCATAGTAGAGACATGAATCTTATATATAAATATATACATATAACATTTATTATATCATCGCTAGTGAAATATATCAGTTTTTATTAATGGATTTGGAAGATTGAGTAAGCAGAAAAACGGCAAATTGTTAGACGGACGGTTTAGATGTTTTAATGATTGCCTCCAAAGCGAGGCCTTTTTTTCTATTTCGTATGGATCACCAATTTGAGCTTGTATCAAGAACGAGATCTTATCACTCTGCAACAGCTGTACAGTTTATTTCCAATAGAGAACATGATGACAGAGTTGGGGTCTAGGGATAAGCAGGGGTATAGTTCATTTCCATACCGGGTTGGATATACGGCCTAGGGAGCAAAACAGTGATTCAAGAACCATTTTAGAGCCCAATGTGAACCTCAGTAAAGGACGATTATCAAGGGACCTTCAATAATTCAATATCAGTGGGAAAAAGACAGAGAAGCAACTTGTGATGCTGGGAGGGGTTGGAAGGGGGGGGGGGGGAGTAGACAAGGCATACATCTCATGCAGATTTTCATTGTATAATTATAAACAGTTGTACTTCATTTCATCACATTTTAAGCAAAGGGCGTACTACAATGAATACCATTACCATCGGTCAAACAATGCATTTAAAGCACCATGCCAAATTCACTCATTGAGACCCAGAAGGGGTTACTGCCCTTCTGGCTCTTACAAATTATATAAAAATAAGTTTTTAGCCCCCAGATACAAATTTCTGTACACCAACCCTTCCAGTGAGTAATGTCATTGATAAAAGCTATTTGGCTTGAAATCTCACTCCTGAACCTGAAGGATTTTTTTCCATTCTAAATAATTTGATTCTTCATTCCTTTATTTATTTGTTTATTTATTTATTATTTTCTTCATCAATTTATTCATAATGTCTTATTCATAACAATCATTCATGCCACTGCAAGCCGTACTGCAGATTTTTTTTGATTTTTATTAAAAAACCATTAATCACAAAGAAGTTAAGAGGACTGTGTGAAAATGTTTCTTAATTAGGGACCTCATGGATTAAAGTGTTGATGAAATGAAGTTATCTTGTGGGACTTTCAAATGGTTCGAAATGGGCTTTTCTGTGGATCGTATGTGATCCGAAATGCACTACAATTTTTTCATTACAAGACCATTCAGAATTAGACTAGAATTTCAATTGATTCCTTGCTGTGCAAGAATTATAAATACATATAGGATTCCTTTCTGTAAAAGAAATGATCTAACAGGGTGTAGATGTCGCGCCTGCATATCCAATCGCCTCTTTATAACAATACCTGTTCTCTGTTGGATGTACTTATATCTATATGTTTATATATTCATATATTCATATTAGCTATATATACATATATATGTATATGTAAACATATAAATATAAATATATATCTAAACTGGTTGCTGATGAGTGAAGACATACATGTATTACAGCTGTCACTTTTCATGTATTTGTTCTGTAATTGAATGTATCGCAAACCTCAAAGATCCTCTTTGTACGGAACTCTTATCTGGTAGCTAGTGCTTGTTGGATTTTGTCACACTTTTCTAAAAAATTGGCTACAAAATTCAGAAGAAAAAAAAAATGAGAGAAATGAGAAATGTATCAGAAAAATGGTAGTTGTAGACAGCAGTAGAGAATCCAAGCCGTTTCAGTTTGGGTGGAATACCATCTGCCTGGGTGGACTATGATGTAGGGTAGAATTTTTTGTTTAAAGAGACACTACTACCCTTCATAATTTTCACATTAATTCTATACAGACATTTTACATGAATATGATATGTATATGGGCAACCTATATTATGAGAGAAAAGACATTATAATGGATGACACTGCATGAAAGTGTTAAATCATATCATTTAGACGATTTTAACTGGATTAAAATCAGTTATAACATCTATTGCCAGTGAGCTCAGAAATTATGCTCAAGAAAATGTTCATTTGGAATTTTTTGACAATATTTCAATCTTTACGAGTTTCAAACGGAAGCTTGCATTTGACGATTCTCTATATTTAATCATGGAAGAGAAAAATTTGGTCAATCAAAAAGATTTTCCTTTTTCATGTTCTGCTATACATGTACTTTCAAACAAAGCATATATAGGAATACAAAATGCTTTCATAAATCTATGCATTAAAAGTTTTCAAGATTCATTTATCACATTAAATATTTGAAAGGAAAATATGATTTGGTTTGTATTAAATATACTGTATCAACAATCAAACTTGAACGTGTTTAATCAGAGGCGTATATCACTATTACACTACATCGTATATGAAATTATGAATGAATAATATTATCTAGACATAAAGGATGAGAATTTGGATATGAATGGGCTATTACCAACTGCGCATTTATGTAGAAAGTCAAATGTAGTTCTATGTAAGAAGTAGTAGATTTGTAGTCATGTGAAAAACATAATGTACAATTACCAATTTGAACTATATCCAACATTCACTTTCTACACATTGTAGTCATGTGACTGTCACTATGTATCATATATTTACTCAAAAGTACAATCGTATACACTGCTCATGCTAATTGTCTGTCAAAATATGTGACAGTTATACCTCTAAATTTACAAGATATAAAATTCCTGACTTTGACAGATGAAGTTGACTATATACTCAGTTGTACTGAACTTGTGTAGGCATGGGCGAATGGACTTTTATGCTTCTTTTTTTTTTTTTTTTTTACTGTAAATACATTATATAAATGTGGAATATGGTATTTACAAATGCTCAACATTTACATGCATTTGTAAAGAAAGTAGTTAATGTATACTATATAAACCTGGGTGTGATATATATTGACACTATCAAGGGATTTGGTCATTTTTTCAGTGTAGCGCTTGTATATGAATAGTCTTAGTAAACACATGTGGCACCGTCTCTATAAAGCAAGCTCCCCAAAGTTGTATTTTCAAAAAACCGTTTCTACTTGTACCACTCAAAATGTGTAGAAATTCTTTGAAGAATTTGTTAAAATGCGACCGTAGGTAATTATAGAAGGTGTATTGTATGTACGTATCGTGCTTTGCTTCATGGGAATGACTGAACACACGTACATACTGTGTGATATTCATCTCGGCTTTTCTTGTTGTATTAGAAGGAAAAAGAAAATGGGGTAGAAAACTACACCAGGTTCTTCCAGTATATATACATTATATATACATATATCACAGAATACGACTATGTCACCTCGTTTACATTTTTGTAACAAAAACAGTTTTGAGTCTGACCTCCCCCTCCCCTCCCCTCCCCTCCCCTCCCCAGAAAAATGCACCAAGATTCCTTTGTGTCTATTAAGTGCCATTTTATTTTGCTAATTTGGGAAAAAAAGAATTATATCACTCTCCATAAGCATCTGTTTTGAGAAATTATAGCTCGTATTTTTTCATTCTTTTTACAATTTGATGCAATTTATCTTTCAACACTGGATGTTGCTATTGCTTGATATATGTGTATGAGTTTATATATATGTATATATATTCATATAGTTATATATGTGTATATACATATGTATACATCAAATGATTGAGCAAATTTGTTTTCTAAATACATAAGAGAAAAATGTCTATAATATTTCGTTTTGATTATATTACTGTTTGTCATCCAAGCTACAATAAATGGGTCAATCATATTAGTTATTTGTAGTGATTATCTTCATTATTATTCAAGAGAAGAATGCGGCTAAAAAGCTTGTGCCTTTGACTCCCTATTTGTATGTTATAATATTGTTCAAATGCTAAATTTGTGGGGAGCGTTGCTCTCCGATATGACTTTTATCGGACGGTACTTCACCAAGGAACCATTTGGAGTTTAGAATGAAGTGCTGTCGGTTATTTTTTGCCAAACACCGGACTTTTACAAGCCATACCAATACGGATTGTTTTCAGCAAGTTTTTTTTTTTCTTTTCAATTTTATTTTTTAGTTCCGTGTGTGATTTTCTTCTGGACAGATTTGAAGAGAATACTTAGGCTTTTTTGAATTATCGACTTTTTGTTGTTGAAGTAGTACGACTCTGTTCCTGTGTCTCTAACCCGACCCCAACCCTTTAATAGAGATGTATTCCATTAACCCTTAAGCTGCCAAGATGTGTATTCTCTACTCATGTACTGACAATGTTTGTATAATAGTCAAGCGGGCCATGAATCTATATTTTCTGGCCAAGGGTACAATAGTCCCTGAAATAATATAATGCTCGAAACAATCTGATCAGTTATTCACTCTTTAAAGTAAGAACAAAAATGTTTTTTTGATGTTTTGGTTATGTTTTTGTCTTTGTTTCTTGTTATTCTCTGTTCCCTTTTTTCTTCAAAACAAGGCCAAAAAGTAGCCAACAGTGCCTGGAATGCAAATTGCTGGGGTTACAACGGTCACAACAAATTTCATTTGCGAACAGCAAATAAAACCGAGTTTGCATATTTGGCATATTTGTGTTCAATGCCCCTTTTCTGTTTGTTTGGTTTTTGTAGGTATTTCTAGCCTTTTCCCTCCATGATTTGAAATCTAAACTGGCTTGCAAAGAATTTTTACCAAATCTCAATGCCCCTATTTATTGGTAGGGCCTGTATCTCAGTTAAGGTGCTTACATAAATGGATAACCTAACCATTCATATGCTTAATATGTTGGATTTGATTTTTGAAAATGCTCAACTGGAATTTAAAAGATGTATAGAATACATTACTAAAAATATGCAATCCTATGAACAGAGTTCTAATCCACGGACAGTGTCCCCCAAGTTTCATCCAATTAAAAATCTAATGGGAAACAGTGATTTCTTTATTTCTTAAATCTTAGAACTAATCATCTGTAAATGGCTCCTTTTATTTAGTTTTAAGATCATTTTGAAAGGCAGCATGTATCATTGTATTAAATATTTAATTTGTTTGTGAAAAAATTTGAGAGAAAGATTAAATTTGATGGGATTAAACCAATATGTAATATGTAAATTTTGTATATGAAATGAAGACAAGAAAGAAAAACATGATACTAGTATTTCATGTAGTGATAATTGAATTATACTAATATGGGAATGAAAAAATATTGGGAAATAGTTGACTAATAACCTACAAAATGCTGAATAGTGGGTCATTGAAATGCTACAATAAGCCAATGCTTTAAATTTGGGGGATTAAAATACAGATTTCTAAAAGAAATGGGGAAGACCCTAAACCTTTTTGCTGAGATGATATTTCTACAAGTTACTTCTTATTAAAAAAAATCTTCATATGTTAGTAAATTTGAATCTTAAGATTAAATTGAAATTTGATTAGTTCAATCTTTTTATTGTTGTAGACTAAAGGGGATACCGGTAATACAAATTCTACTCACCAAGTCTTTTCTTATATTGACAAGTTGGAAGATACATTTTAAATGGTAGTCTTCACCATTTTTGTTAAATTTCCAAGAGCTATGAGGGAGAAAAAAAACAAACTTTTTTTTGGTTACTTTTTCTAAATTGAATTAATAATGGGATTTGGTAACCCCCTCCCCCCCCCCCCCCATTAAAAAAAGAAATTCCCAATTTATGGGACATGTAATATTAAAAAAAGGGTCGTTTTAAATCAATTACATGTTTTATCAGTGATAGGTAGGTTAAATAACTGACTGGCTACTATACAGTAAAACTGCACCATTAACAAGTGACATTTTTGTAGTCTCTTTGCACCGCACATTTCCGCACGACGATGCGTGCAAGTCGTACTCTCTCACCGTCGGTGAGAATCAGAGCATTGGCCGCTTGATCTCTCCCTTTAAATGTTGATGTGTCCTGTCTTTTGTGAGTTCATTCCTACATGTTTCCTGTGTAACGTCATTTATTAACCATGTTATCATCATGAAAGCAGTAGATAACGACAAGAAACAGATATAGAAGCACGCCAAAAGGAAGCTTGGTGTGTATACGAGCTAACTTTGTGCAAAAAAAATTGACATATTCTATAAGACACGTACATGTAGTATGATGACTCGGTGAGAAGGACTGAAAGTATGCTGTATCATTATTATATTAACTATGCTATGTATTATTATTAATATTATATCAATATCGTTGATACTATTATAAATATGTAAACACACTGACGCTGATGGATACAGTGTTGTGTACAGTAGTACCATGATATGGCAAGTCAATTATCATTATCTTAGGTATATACCGTATGGCACAGCATTTGATTCTCATGAATAAATTATGGACTGAATGTAGTGATTTCTTTTACAAATAAACATTATATGCCTACAAAAAAAAGGAATTGAGTGCTATGTTCAGTTTATTTTCATGGATCGTGGTTTATGCATGTTTGAAATGAAGATGAGTTATCTGTTGAGAGCCAGAAGGGTGTTAACTCTGTAGTGATGTGAGAGTTAGGTGACACGACATTTGCTCCTGCGACAATTGCTCCGGGCTTTATTTCGTCTAAGATGTAGGGTTAGGGTTAGGGTTTCAATAGGGTTTTATGTTAGGTTTAGGGTTAGGTTTAGGGTAGGGTATAGTGTTGAATCCAGGGTTGAAGTAAGCCATTCGATTAGTGTATGAAATTTACAGCGGAGCAATTGTCGCCGGAGCAAATGTCATGGAATCGAGAGTTAACATGATGAGAAAGGGGCAGAGTATAAGAGAGAGAGAGAGAACTAGTAAGAAGGAACTGAAATAATAGTCCTAGTGAGAAATGGATTGCACATTTTCTGTGTGAAGTCCAGATATAATGTCTGTTTTGAGCCAAAAGGGTGTTAACTGAATGATATGAGACGATGAGTTGAAGTCCTTCTGGCTTTCTGCAGACAAATGATAAGTGGAATTTTGGCTTCCATGTAAATTACCTACATAAGTGGATTACCCCCCCCCCCCTCCCCCCTTTCCCTCCACATCTAACAATATTTGCTGTGTGTTATACATCCCTGGGGGTCATGCATCTACATGTATGCATCGTGTTTTGGCTACTTTTTTCTGACAATCCTGGAATAGCTGTTGATCTGAAGAGCTATGAGGAGGAAGATTCCAGGGAACCAAATCCTCAGAGACTATAGAGAATGGGTAAAATGATATAAGGCTATACAAATACAAATATACAAATAATGTAAGAGCTAAAAAGAAGAGGAAGAGAGAAAGAGAAAGTGAGAACTATAAAGAAGGAACAGAAATATGAGAACGAGTGAGAATAGAGAGAGAGAAGAAGAGAAGGAAAGAGAAAAAAAGAAAAAGCAAGAACTAGGAAGAAGGAACAGAAACATGAGAACGAGTGAGAATAGAGAGAGAGGGAATAGAGAGAGAGAAGAGAGAGAAAGCAAGAACTAGGAAGAAGGAACAGAAATATTAGAACGAGCGAGAAAAGAGAGTGAGGGAGGAGAGAATTAAGAGAGAGGGAGAGAGAGAGTAGAAGTGAAGGAAAGAGAGAGAGAAAAAGAGCAAGAACTAGGAAGATGAAACAGAAATATGAGAACGAGTGAGAATAGAGAGAACTAATGGAAATAATTAATAATTAATAATAATAATAATAATAATAATCAGATTAATTTATATAGCAAGCTACTATATACATATATTTTTACTGCACTTTGATGGAATCTAAACTCCTAGCAGTGCTACTTAACAGACACACAGTAAACAAATTATTTTAACATTATTCAAAAGCTCCTGAAAACAAGTGCGTCTTCAACAAAACTTTGAAGACAGCAACAGATGAGGCTTTTCTTATGTTAGGTTATTCCAAAGTTTCGTAGTGGCGCAACTGAAAGCTCAATCTCTAAGAAATACTATTGTTTTTGTGTGAGGTAGTTATAGGAGCAGCTTGTCCTGTGTAACTTGCCAGTTACGTGCATATGGATGTGATTTAAAAGATGATAATTCAGATAAATAATTTGGGGCTTGACCATTCAATGCTTTTTAAACGAGCAAAAGTATCTTAAATGCAATTCTTTGCCTTATTGGCAACCGATGTAACTGAATTAAAACAGGTGTAATATGCAACAATTTGTAGGAATTGGACACAAGTTGCACATGCATTCTGAACACACTGCAACTTACAAAATGATTGAAGAAGTTATCAACACAGATGGGAAGCAAACAAATAAAAAAAATGATTCCCAGCAGTGAGTATCACATTAAATACAGAATAAAATATGAAATCAAAATCCAGAACAAACAAGTTTCAGTTGAAAATGACATTTATTCAAGAATAACTCTGGGAAACAAAGACAAATTACATGTATACACATTAAATGTGATAACTGCAATATAAAGATTATACATGTAGACCAAATCCTCCTGAATAATTCAAAATTGTGAGTTGATATCCATCTTTAAAAAAAGAAAAGATAGCCCTATCATATTCCTTATCTACAAGCATGTTGCTACTTGTCAGCTTTGTATCGAAGCGTACTAGCAATGGAATATTTTCAAGCTAATATGAGTAATCTCCATTTCCTGTATTTCCATGTATTGTGAACTTTCCTATTATCACAGAACAGGCATATTCACACATTACGAGATAAACCCATGTTTAATTATTTTTTCTTACTAAATGAATGGCAAGTAGACACGGGATGAGAAGAGTAACTGGCATCAACAAGTATTCTTTGCCTACTCACTCATCCGTGTATAAAAAGATGCAAAATGTGAAGTGCAGTACGTAAAAAAACCTCCGCAGCAAACCGCGAAGGTTTACTGCTATATATGCACAAGCCTTAAAGATAAACTTGAGTTCTGTTAAAAAAAGAAAATTAATTCTCACAGAATCTAACAAAACTTACACTGAATGTTCAAGATTACAAATAAATGTCATGTGCCAAACAATTTTGGAAGAAAATGTATACTGGCTGAGTAATGAGCATAGAAAGATAAGGAAATCAGGGTAGTACTAGCCCCGACACCATGTGTGTTGTCCCATATACATCTATCTGTGTAAGTAATTGTTACTTTACCAAGACTCTGCCAAATTTATGATGATTTTGATGACTCTAGAACCTTGCATTACACACCATTACTTACATGCTATATGATCAACTTTTCTGATCCATTCCACACCTTTTCTTTCACAATGCAATCGCATTACCAGTACTCAAGTTTATCTTTAATGTAGCATTGTTCTAGATCATAAGAATAACACTGGCATACGGGTACATAATACAGTTAACTAAACTATTCATACCCTTACCATTCTTGAGAATGCATCATATCAAAGCTTACATCTAAAAGTATTTAACACCGTTTGGCCAAGAGGGATTAGACCACCCAGGGTGGTCACTGACAGATAGCTATCTCATCAACTCAGCTCTCAATTAACATAAGAAAAAGACGATCATGGGGGACCAACGGTCACCAATTAGGCATTATTTTCTATATAGAGCAAGTAGCTACAAGTAGTATAGTGGGGCTTTAAACAAAGGCCCTACCCATAATTCAACCAGTCCACCTTTCATTATTGAGTTGATAAAAAAACAGATCAAAGTTACAAGGGGTATGAATAATTTAGTTCTTAAAGCCCCTTTAAAATGTTGGGAGCCTCAAACTCGCCAAAAATTTGATAGCAAAATGCACTTAAATTGTATCATAATGGGAAAGAGGATTTCATTTAAGACATATTTCTGCTAAGATTTCCCGCTGAAAACATGTGTTTGAAGACAAAATTGATTAAAGAATACATAATTGGGGTTTTCTGTTGTGCACAGTCTTAATTTTGTATTCTTTTATCAATATTTGACTTCAAACACATGTTTTAAAAATCCTTGCAGAAATATGTCTTCACATTATGATACAACTTACATGAAATTTTGCCATAACATTTGGGGGGCTTCCATCACTTGAGAGGGACTTTAACTGTCTATGCCATCATTTGGAAACCCAAGGATAAGTAGGAAAGGGACGACACCCCTCCTACTCACAGTTGTATGAAAGAAGAAATATATTGAACTTTGGTAATTATTTTACAAAATAAGCAGTTTGTAATTAAACAACCAAACCATACATGTTTATTCTACTCAAATATGTAGTAGTTGCATTGCATTTTTAATCGAATTCTATGCATTCATTCATGTCTCAGAATTTTAACCATATTACTTGGACTGAAGCAAAATGTCCTTTATTTATTATGTAATAAATGACCTTGGCAAATTGATAGCGTTCTTTGATCTTGGAAGGTACATGCAGTTATAGTTGAAAACCATATCCATGAAACATTAACTTTCAGCAACATACATGTTTACTTATGTGTTCCAATTACTTGCACATAATTTCTTCTCACACAGAAGTTTAACAAAAAAATTTGCCTGCACCTTGCCTGATATATCAAACAGTTATCAAACAGTTTTTTAGCAGCCTGAGGAGTTCTGTGCTGAAACATTCACAATTTCAATATACTAGTAAACTGGTCTGCTGCACATCTTTTTCTAAAAATGTATACCAGGAATACCAAATCATTTACCAGATACATATGTACCTCACAACCTAGCATTCCTGGAGCTTCTATTTTCATTTGTGCCATTTTCTGTTTCTAGCTTTAAATTAGATTTAAAGTACTAAATGCTGTGCTGTGGCAAATATATAAGTAACTGAACATTCTAATATACACAGTTTCTGTTGAGTACTACCATATAATTGTATCTCTGTAAAATTTTGTAATGCTGATCAATTTTCAAATCACAAGAGGAAGAAGACAAAAATATTATAGATATTGAAGAAGGTAACGCTAGAATAAGCTATAAAAAAAAGCTTTTTATTTACAATACCACTATAACTTAATCAGGGAAGAAAGATTTATACAGAGTAGCACTAAAAGTATTATGGCGCAGTAGTTTGTTCACTTGACTTTCAACCGTGAGGTAAGGAGTTCAAATCCTAGGCCCATACTAGTCCTTTAGCAAGACATCAATCAAAAAACTTTCTAGGAAAATACTTGACCGAAAAATCTGTCTACAGGTTTTTCATTCAGGGATATGTTCCGCTGAGACAATGCCTGGCTCCACCAAAAAGAAGGAAATATCTTACAAAACTCCTCAAACCTGATGTATATTTTGTCTAGGAAAACAAGAAGAGGCACTGAAAATAGAAGAGAAGATCCATGATGAGCAGGGCCAGAGGGAAAGCGAAGACCAGGCCCAAACTGAACAGAGCTTAATTGAAGGGCTGGTCCAGAAGGAGGAGAAGAACAAATTCATCGGCTTATACTCTCAAGCTTCTACCCCATCTTAGCAACCCCCACCCCCGGAACAAGAGAAAAGCCGACAAGAAGAACACCCCGAAGCGGCGGAAGAAACAATCAATCCCATACACATTCACCGAACAGCAGGACCTAGAACTTGCGGAATAGTGCCAGGACCATGAGTGTCTGTAGAATCGCAGGATTAAGTCATACAAGAACACAGTAATGAAGACTAGGTTGATTGAGAAGAGGAAAAGGCCAAGGAATTTGATCCGGAGTGCTCTGTTGAGTAGGCCTATTTTTATCAGGAAATGGAACTTGCGGTATGGTACCGGGACCAAAAGTGCCTGTACAATCGTAGGATCAAGTCATACAAGAACACAGTAATGAAGACTAGGTTGATCGAGGAGAAGGCCAAGGAGTTCAATCCGGAGTGCACTGGCGAGTAGTCCTATTTTTATATTGGCGGGCGAGATCTGGCGGGGAATTTAGCACGTCGCTTATGACGTAATACTTCTTGCTGCAATTATTACTGTTAATGTCATTTTAGTGATTGTTACCATTAGGCTCCACTAGATATCAAGGATAGACTGGTACTACTTTAAATCCTATAATCACAAGAGACTTTGTAATCTTATGCTGAACCCTCTTGAATGCAGATGCTCAAGGCGCACTTGTGAAACAAAAAACAAAAAACAAACAAAAAGAGATCACATAAAAGCATCTGCATTATAAACAAAGAAACAGGAGTAAGATAGAACAAACAAACATGAAAGAGCAATTAATTAAATGCCGAATTAAACAAATACGTTTAAGGATTAATTGTAAACATTTCAACTGATCTACGAATGTCTGGATGGACAGCATTCCGCAGCGAAGGAATAAAATGAAATACAAACCAGATAAAATTAAACCCAATACCCAAACATGATCGATAGTAATCCTTTAGTAAACATTCCACCTAGAAACGAAGAGAAATGAAGGAAATCAGAAAGAATTGCTACATCACTAACATGCAATCACACCATGCAGCAAATCAAATGTTATACTGATCAAGCCCTCCTTTCACAAGTAGGGTCTTTTATTAATAAACTTTTGCAAAAGCATTGAAGAGGTGGTCAACCGAGCTCTGACTCAAACCTTACAAAAATGGACTGCAAAATTAACATGCAAGAAGGCGAAACCTTTTGAAGCTGGATGGAACTTAAAGCTGTCAGGACTGAGGACATCATCTCAATACTACCATCTGTTCTTCATACATTTATGAGCCTTTAAAGCCACAGATGAGATTGTTTTAGTAAAGAATTATTGCTTGGGAAGGAGCATGATCACTCGAAGAAAAATAAAAAAAAAATAAATTAATCCTGCAGCTAGCTGATCTTAACAATTGTATACTACAATTAAAATTAAAGAGAAGTGATTTGACATCAGTAATCAGTAATTAACATGTAAATCAATGTACTCTATATTGCATATGTGCAGCTGATTTCTTAAATCAACCAAGTTGCTTCTCGCATGACCCGGCTACTCTAATTAGCTATCAACAAAATCATATCCCTTTCTAAAAAGGATATGATGCCAAATACCTACATCATATAACACTTTCCCAATTAGTTGCACAACCCGAGTGCCCTGTGCACAACAATGTACAATGGAAGAAAACTTGAAGTGCACACGGGGTCAAGAATAAAATAAGCATTTCATCAGCTGCCCGTAAGAAAGCCGTAACAGCTAGGTATTGTCACTGGCAGTTACGGCCTTCTTTTGGGCAGGGAATGATTCGTAAACAAGAAGAAGCACATCGTTCCTCACTGGAACACTCCCAAAGTAGAAAGTCTACAATAAATATTAGATATGTCTGTATGACCTGAATATCTTTCGAGACCATATCGTGCCTTCTTATTTACACAGTACAGTAGAACTAACGCCACGAGCGCATGTCATCTCGCGTAGTTCCTGACGTAACGCTGGACTTTCACCTCAAAGTCTCGCTTGTCCCGGAGATAGTGGTCTGCTGCTTCGATGTTGAGTGGATCATCGAAGTTAAGAAGATCCTAAAGGGGGAGGAGAAAAAGCAGATAACTTTGTTTTAATGTCTCGAGGATTGTTTTAAATGAAATTCAAAAAATACAAATTCAAAAAGATTCCAAGCCGAGTCTTGCTATCATGGCCTCTTGCATCATTTATTTGCTATCATTTCTTTGTTAACTCAAATGAACGATAAAATAACATGACAATCAAACTGTTCCTAAAGAGTTTATCCCCAGCACAAATTAGGATAAAGATTACAAACTGCCTTTAAATACATTTGATTATTGCATTCAAGATATATTATGACCTTAGATGGCACATGCCTGGGAAAAGGCACTTAACCATGTTCGTTAAGAGCCACAAGGACCTTCACTCATGAATTTTAACATGAAGTTAATGCCTTTCTTGCTCTGAACACATGATATGCAGATTTCATGCATCTGCCTGCCTGCATGTACTTACTGTAAATAAAGCGTTGAGTCCCCACACCACGTCTGTCAGGGTTCTTGTCGGTGCCCAGCCTGTCCCGTCCATTGAATGCTCTCGTAGAAGACTTTATAAAAATAAAAAAAAGAAGAAGTAATCAGAATATGCTATTAGATTCTTCACAATAGTCATCTCAGTCAGCTCAGTAACGCACAAGATGAAAGGTTACCAGAGCACCACTGATCACATGAAATCATATATATCTAAAGCCCCTGTCACATAGTAGTGAATAGAGCTAATCATTGCCTAGCGTACATTCTTTTGGCAAAGTGCAGATATGCTCACATACGCTCAAATTCTTGGCCAAAATCTGTTTCATAACAAATGCCAAACGACTGCTGATTGTATAACTAGCGTCCATAGAGAGGAATGACAGCACATTCATAGCGTCCATCAAACGAATGCTAAGCATAAACAAAAAATGACCAGCAAATGCCTAGCATGCTTTGGATGCTATGGCCGGCCAGCTGACGTGTCTCGGCTGACCCACACTCTCACCACGATACCTCTGACATTCAACATCTCCAGACCTGGGGAGTGTTTCACAAAGACTAAGATCGACTTTAAGTTGGACTTAAGCATGGCAGGTCGTTCATGTCATTCATGCCATGCTATTGTTTCTTATCATTTACTGGCATTGGTTTCTCAAGGGACGTACATGTACCATACGTTGTCACAAATCAACAGAATTTACATTTTTTGATAGTTTATTATTGAAGGAAAAAATGTTATCTAAAGATCGCAATTGAGAGGCCAATGGTGAGAGCAACTAGTGGCAAGAATGGTCTGCCATAGTTAAGTACAACTTAAAGTTGATCCTAGTCTTTGTGAAACACTCCCCAGGTCCACTAACCCCAAGTTCCAGTTCCAGTACCAGCATGCCTTCCAAGAATTCTGATGTAAAGAAAGGGAAGAAGCAGCCAGCCAAACCTGCCAAACAGGAACCCAGACCGCATCAGCAGCCGAGGACGAGAGTGCATCACCTCCCCGGGGATTATCATCTCCACGCACCCCTGTCTGGACAGGCCAGAGTCCAACTACAGATTTCCACTCGCTCAATATTTTGAACATGTCCGAAATTAAAAATCAACCCTAGTGCACTTCTGTGAACTCTTCCGAACAGCTAACGAATATAGCGGAAGTTTTGATCGGCGATAATCAAATCCCGGACAAGCAACACATGAAATTACTTGGCATCATCCTTAGCAGTGATCTTCAGTGGATGGAACACGTCAACTGCATTACATCAAAAGCAGCCAAGAAACTCTATCTGCTACGGATGCTCAAACGTATCTCTATGCCACTTCATGATTTGATTACAGTGTTTATTTCCTATATAAGACCGGTTCTAGAATACTCTTGTGTAGTATGACGTTCACCAATAAGTCCAGCTGTGCTGAATGGCACACATCATGGTACTTGGCATTGATCAAGTCAACGACAAAGCAAAAGCAGATCTATCCACCAAGCAGACACTTCACCTTTAATGACCCTCAGACAGAAAATCAAATACCTGTATACCAACCATCAAAGCAGTCCCTTACTATTTTAAGTATACCATGTGCTAATAAAAAAAATTGTCTCGCAACCTGTCATCATACTTCTAGGTCTCCTCCTCCTTTCATGTACAGAACATGATCTTACAAAAGTAACTTTTTATAACATGTCTTTTGTTAATGACTAGAGTTGTATGTTGAATATCAACATTGCACTTCAAATTATGTTTGTTGTACCGGTATTGATAATCTGCTGTTCCTGTTACTTTTTTTAAAATCCCGTTTACAAATGTTTGTGAAAGAAGAAATTAAATGAACTATGAACTATGAACTATACTTCATCCGATTATCTTCATAAGCGATCGATGCCACTTATCAAAATTATTAATGCATCATATCACCTCAGTAGGAGCTTGCATTATTACATTATCCTAGTGCCGAATCAAAAGATTAATCACTGATCTTATGTCTGATGTAATAGATTTTACGGTCTCGACAGATAAATTCTTTTTCCATCAGCAGATAAAACAGAAATCCTCACCTGAGACAGATCTGACCCTCCTCTGAGATGTTGGGATGCCATATCTTTGTTTTGCATCTGACTTTTGGAGGCTATTGAAAGAATACAAGGAGAAAAAAATTATGTTAAAACCGACATAGAATGATGTGCTCTTGTGACTGAAAATGCTTTCGCATTACGAAACATAATCACAAATATTTTCAAGAAATCAATCTAAGGAGAATTTCAATGCAGATTGTATTACCCATTGAAATAAATTTGATGTGGAGTTAGTATTTTTTTCTTCCCCTGTACCATGAAACCGTCTATGTACGGTTAGGAAATATCTTTAAATGTACACAGCAACAATAAAATATATATATATATATAATTGTCGTTTAAGAAAGGTATAGACTTAGCCTGGACTTCAAACTTCCACATATGTTTAGACTAGTGGTTCTAAATTTAAGGCATTAAGAATCGGTCTACTGTATGTAGCACATGGAAGTTAATAACTCTCAATATTTGACTAAACCACACATTGGAGTTTCTCTACAACATTAAAGGGATAGTTGAGTTCTGTTGCAGAGGGCGCTAATAATTATTTTGTGAGATAATGAAAAACTGAGTGTCAAATTTGAAAGAACATACAATTTAAATGACAAAATCATCTTTGTTTGATCAAAATTGGTTCAGAGACGGCTGAAATATCCATAAATATACAATTTCTAATACTTGTGCACCACCACAAATATCAGATGATTTGAAAAAGCTGTTGAAAAAACGAAATAGTGCCTTTTACGTCGTATTTCAGCCGATGCCGATGTTGTTTTTTTTGTTGGCATTTTCGTGTTGGTTATATTACGCACAACCAGCCTGCCCATGTATTGTTATTTTTTATTGAATAATTAATTAACGGTCACCATATTTTTTTAAATGGAGCTGAATTGGTATGATCGTATTGGCTAAATTTCACACATTTTGGGGTCTAAAATTACCTTCATTGCAATTTGAGGTTCTATAAGGGCACTATAAATGTCATAGATAAGAATAAGAGCAATAACCATCCACTTTAAAGGCATTTGCGGTCTGAAAACAGAACTCAACTAACCCTTTAATGGTTTAAGAGGACACAATTCTTGATTCTTACCGCTATGTTGTATTCTTCTGTTAGTGTGAGTTCAAAGATGAATTTGCCGTCCTTCCAGTAGCCCTCTTCAGGAGATATTGTTAAGAGACTATGGTGAAGTTTATGAACATCAGGAAAATGCACTTTACATGTCTCTGCAAAATGAAAAAAAATAATAATCAATGCAGTGAAAATATTAACAAGAATGCTCTTAACACTATTCAGTAGCAACAGTGTATGTAATGTCAGAGTGAGGGTCATTCCTACAAGTGATTGTAAACTCAACCTTATCCAATCCAATCCCAGTTTAAACACAGTCCAGGTCTACTCAGAACTATTTCTTTTTCAATCTTTTTTAAAGACCCTTCCCGATAAAATATAACTACATGTACATGAATATCAATGGAAAGCTGAATGAAGGTAGAATGCAAATATATGAAATGCAAATTATTTTCTTTTTCAGTATTGGACAATTGCACAATTTTTCAAATTTTCAAAGCTTTAATAGATTTGGAGTTGTTTCTCCCCTGACACACACTAACAACTGACATTATTGTAATATATATGGCTTACCGGTATAAGCTTTCTGTTATATATATAATACATCTATTTCATTTCTCAGTTACCACAAGGTCGTCAAGAAGAGGTAATAATTCTATGCATAATTTGGCAATTGACTGCATGATTTTGTACTTTTTCCAAATGTAAAAAATTAGTTGAGAAAAATCCAGTCCCTGACAAGGATGATAGATTGCAACTACACTGTACATGTAACTTCCTTGACAAGAGGGTGGCACGGCTGATTCTTTCCATAGCTTACAGAGAGATGTAGTTGTGAAATGTGCACCCATGTGCCCTCAAAAGTCAAGTCATAGAGCTCTAAATAGTTCCCTCTTACATACTGTATCTCTACGAGAGCAGACTATTCAGTGCTCTATGAATTTGAACGATGAACGAGCGTGTATGCGCATGTCACAACTGTCTCTCCTCTACTAGCTATGACTTTTTTAAATCCTTCTTAAAGTAGCTGAGCGAAGGTTTCAAAAGGCTTTTAACCTTAGTATTGTTGGTATCATTGCAAAGTAAATGTTACAATCTTTCTTAATAGTTCATATTTAGTTTTCAAAAATTGTTACAGAATTGACTTATTAAAAGTGGTGAAATTACTACCCGATTATTCCGCCCTTGATCGGTCCGCTATTGTGACGTACGATTTGTGACGTATGAGGTTGGGCACATGAGCGCGAGAGTGCTCCCAAGAGCTCTCACACAACTCTCTCAACTGTATACATTATACGTATACAAACGCCACTCAAACGCTAAATATCTGATCAAAATGTCCGAGCTCAAAGAAGAGGTTTTACTCGATTTACAATTCGAAGTTGATGAGCACAGCTCCACAACCAGTGACAGTGGTACTGGTAGTGATAGTGATGATAATGATGATGGGGATGTAGGATAGATGGAAGAATTAAGAGATCAATTCGGAGAAGACGGCGTCGGTGCAGGTCAAGTGATAGCATATCAGCGCAAGCTGGCTGAGCTGCTGCTCAGCTCCCACGGCCCCACTCAACTGGAGATCAATCTGTCATGCACCCTATCACTGGGGGTCACTGGGGTGACTGGGCGAGACATTTTCTAATTTTTCGGGAAGTGTAGGGCTTTTTGGCAAATATCACGGATAACAAAACAAAGACGAATAGATGTGAGATTATATTTGGCGAAAATCATTTACAAATATGCACCATTCATAAATAGAACTGCAGCTGCAGGACATCATAAAAATGCAAAGGGACACTCGCGATTAACTCATCATGGTCTCCGTATATAATCAACAGCAATCACTATCACGCCAAGGCATGATGACCGAACAAATACAAAACATCTCAGCAAATTACACAGAACGGAAGGGTATTTGGACAAATCAAATTGCACGATTCACCCCTCGTATTATATTACATTTAATTTGCTTAATATTATGTGTAATTACATGATTTCTAGAGATTGTTATTCCACTTTCTGGAGATAATATGAAGCATGCAAAGTCTGGATAATGTATACGTATAGGTCTAGGGTATATATGCGAAATACCGCACGCGAGCTGTGCGAGAGGCGAGGTTGAGGCTTAGAAATGCGATCGTGCCCAACCAGTGTTCAATGTTCAAGCCAGGAATAGAAGTTCTGAGAAGGTTCTTGGAAAAAGCTTCTTAATAATAATAATTAACCGTTCTTGTATAGCGCATAACACATAGTATTAAAACATGTCCCTAAGCGCTCTAGAGAAAAAACATAACAGAATACAAAGACAAGACATACTGGGTAACGGACAAAATGGATGAATTAAATGTTAAATAAGTGCGTCTTTAAAGCAATCTTAAACTTAACAATAGAGTCAATGTTTTTTAGATGTTCTGGGAGATTGTTCCATGAAGTTGAGGCAGTGTGAGCGAAGCTGCGTTCACCATATGACCTGGTCATCACTGGTGGAATAACAAACAATTTTTTCTTATTAGAACGAAGATTTCTAGAAGGTGTGTACAATGTTAATAGCTCAATCAAATAAGGAGGCGCAAAATCATAAAAACATTCATAAGCTAACAACAATATTTTGAATAAAATGCGAGAGTGAATGGGTAGCCAGTGTAAGTCTCTTAAAATAAGAGACACAGATTCATGTTTCCTAATACGATAAATAAGACGAGCTGCTGAGTTCTGCACAACCTGCATCTTCTGCATTTGACGAGCCGAAATCCCAGAAAGGAGGCTATTACAAAAATCAAGATGACACGCCACAAAAGCGTGAATCAAGCGTTCAGTAGTGTGTTTATCTATCAGATTGCGAATTTTCCCAATTTTGTGAAGTGCAAAAGATGCTGATTTGCATTTCTGTGAAACAAAATTGTCCATAGTGAAATTATCATCAAATATCGCACCCAAATTACGACACTTCCTGACAGAATTAACCTGTGTGCCATCTAATTTAATGAATGATATATGATCTGTAGAACGAAAACGTGAAGATATGTGAAGGAATTCAGTCTTGTTGCTGTTGAGCTTAAGACCGTTGATTTGTGACCATTCTTTAATTGCTTGAACACAGTCAACCATTTGAGAAATAACACCTTGGACATCTGAATGTTTAAATGCAATATACAGTTGAGTGTCGTCAGCGTAGAACATTTTATGAACATTATGACTGTCAATTAGTGACTCTAGTGGAGCAGTGTAAAGTGTGAACAACAGGGGACCTAACACTGAACCTTGAGGTACCCCTTGAGAACTACAATAACTAGACGATTGTTCATTTCCTATAACAACAGTGTGATTACGATTTGTCAAATAAGACTCGATCCAGTCGAGTGCCCCACTGCGAATACCAAACTTCTTACCGCGTTTCATTTATATTTACAAGACTTTAGAGCAGAATGTGTGTGTTCAAATTGGTCTACGCTACACGGACATGTATAATTTGCCCATTTTTAGTGATTATGTGAAATTTCTTCGCCAAGCTACTTTAAAGACAAAATTGAGTTTTGGTCATTTGATTGCAATGTGAAAGAAAAGGTGTGGAATGGATCAGAAATAGTTGATCATGTACAAGTATTGGTGTGTACTGCAAGGTTCTGGAGTCATCAAAATCATAATAAATTTGGCCTGGTCTTGGTCAAGTAACAAGCACTGTGCACATAAAGATGTAAATGGGACTACACAAATGGTGTCGGGCCTAGTTACCTTAATTTCCTTATCTTTCTATGCAGCTTTCTACTCAGCCAGTATACATTTTCTACCAAAATTGTTTGGCACATTTATTTTATTTGTAATCTTGAACATTCAGTGTTAGAGTTTCGTTTGATTCTGTGAGAATTCATTTTCTTTTTTTACTAGAACTCAAGTTTATCTTTAAATTGACCTTGCTAAAAACACATTTCCTTACTTGGTAAGCTGGATGTCATTTCAGGCACTTCTTTGATGAGCAATCTGTCTCGTATTGAAACCCGCTTTGTTGAATTGTTGAGGTCTGGTGATTTGGAGTTGGAACCAGATGATTTTCTGGCTGCATCTTCCTTTAATTTCTTTGACAGAGTAATCATAATTAACTGTCAAAATAGAAAGAAAGAAAGAACAAAATAAAACACAAAAAGGTAATAAGAGTATCGAAGCTGTGACATCATAAAATATATTTTTTGAATTTCTCAATTCTTTCTTCACTTTCTAAAAGGGCATCAAAAATAATGCCTGAATGTCGAAAACCAATTATTGGCCGAGATATGACCATCTGAATATATGTCCTATGGGAACTCAGTGTTATAGTGCTCTGGTGCCTAAGTATGTTATTCTATTGTTTTTCGACATTCGGACATTATTTTTGATGCTCTTTCGGAAAATGAAGAAAAAAATTGATAAATTCTAAAAATAGATTTTTGATGACGTCACACTTCACCACTCTATACATGCGATGTATTTGAACAACATCAATTTTTTTTAACAGAGCATTATTTATGGGCTCACGATCATGCTTATGTCGAGCGCAGTTTACATGTAGATTGTAAGTCCATTTCTTTTTTCTCCCATGCAATTGAAAGTACAAAAAAGCATGTTCAATTCATATTGTATGATACCGAAGGCTTCAGTCTCTGATGTTGATGGTTTGTCCACTGAGACTATGTCTGGCTCAGAAGTGTGTCATACGTGTTAGTGAGGAGGGGGGGTTACGCAATGCAGTTTGTGTGCGATTGCCAACCTTATCGCACGTACTAGTAGCTTCAAGAAAAAGGGACAGATCAGCTGAAAGTAAGTCCTTACATTTTGATATTCTAAAATGATTTTCGATGTTATTTTTTAAAACCTAGATCCATTTTTTTCTAAATCGATCTGCACAATGACAATGCAATGCCAATAAAAATGGTTTGCCCTGTGAGTGTGACGTAGAGTTAACAGTTACGCATTGATGTCCCTAATTAACACTAACAGCTACACCGCATGCGTAATTCATGGTAACACTAATACTCGTTAGTTATTACAGTGATTATCATATAATTAAATTTATATGTTGTCAATGATCTGTCTAGATTACTTCACTTTGTCATTGCACTGCACACCGCTGGAATTGCAACAGTGCAGTGCAATGCAGTGCAATTCGATGCAATGCATATGCAGTACTAATGGCAATGCGAGTGTTCGTTTCTGCATTCTGCTCGACCCAAATAAGAGTAAGATTTAGTGCAGTGTTCAACTCCGTAGTATATATAAATGTACAGTCTCATTTACTTTATTACTTACTAACCTAAATATCAAGGGAAGCACTTCTTTCTCTAAATATCCCGCACCATATATGGCTAGAAGTACCAAGAAGTACAAGAATCAGCTACACCGACCTGTAGGGAATTTCACAAGCAGCACATAACGTAAAACAAAACAAAGTGTTAAGGTATCGTTGAAGAGAAAGAAGGAAGTGTCCTGATTATTTCAGTAAATTCTTGTATGTCCAGCCTTTGATAACATTACACGCAGTATGAAATATTATTACATAGACCTAAAATTATCAAATTTTATCAGTTATTCAATATAAATTATGTTCAACAGTTAAAGAAACTTTCTAAATTTTGTAAAATAATTATGTCGAAGTTTGAAAGAAAATAATAGTGTTTTTTTTTCTTTCAAGGCAATTGTAAGGTATATTATATTTCTCTTTAAAGTAAAGCATACGTACTTTTAGCACTGATCTTTAAAGTATACCATTTTATTTAAGTTATTTTTTTAAATGTTGCCTTCAATTTATTGTTTCTTTGCACGATTGATTTTATTTCTGCACTTTCAACCTATGATAGAAAATAGTATACAAACTAGGTACATATGGTATGAACTAAAGTTAAAATACATATATAATCACATCAAGATATAAATCAATGAAATGATTATATCTTGTGTATTGTTTGCCGCCAACGAACCTGTCTTAAAAATAGCGTAATAACGTATGGGTATATCATTTATCTTTATTTTTTCTATACCCAGGTAGAGCATATTAAGAAGTAAAACAAACATCAAACATCATTACATCAACATAAAACTGATTGGAAAAGCTGCGTATATATAGGCTACTCCTATTATACTAATATTTTGTAAATATCATGTCTTATCAATGGGGTAGACAAATTTCATTACTTGTGTGCTAGCTTGATATTCATATTCTAAATTATGTATTATACATTGAGTATTGAAAGTAGCACCAAATATATATATATAAAATACAAAATCTTAATTCCCACCATAAGAATTGAATGGATAAATTATTCTCCTGTGGTTCATTCAGCATCTACTATACTTGTCTGTTGTTACAACAAACAAACTATGAGTGCGCATATTTCATTCAATACGAATTCAACAGTTTAAACGACAAAATCCATAATTTCTTTGCTACATTTAAAAAAAAAATGATTTGCTAAGTATACTTTGTTCAAGCTATATTGTAAAAGAGCATCTGAGGAATTAACACTTCAACAAGCTCTGCTTCAAGTTATTTACTCCTTTCTCGTATATTTCTATCATATTTGTCGTTTCATTGTAATTTTTTTGTAATATACTGTCTTATTGTGTTAAGTTTTGCATGAGAAATAAAATCATTTGAATCATGTTAACTGTTTGCCTCTTCCCGATACAGTTCAAGTATGGTTCAAGTTCAAGATATTTCAAAACCAGCCAGGTTTATTGGTAGATCTCTTTCTAATTTTTGTATTTTTGTTTACTAATACCCATTGATTTATACGCCATGGAAGCCAAGGTCCACACACGCCAGGCCAATGATAGAATCGAAACCGGTAACATAATACATCAACTTGACGAATCTATCTTCCACAACAACGAAAACACACATACGTGCAGCCTGTAGATGTCGGATGGCGCCAGCTTGAGTTGGGCAAATTAATGGTTCAGAGAACAATTCAACAGTAGGAAAAACAGTGATTGCATTCCTTTGTAGTTGCTGCTTTGTCTCGTAAACACTTTTAATTTTTGGTTTTCAAAACTACTCATGTGACAACCAATAAAACATACTTAAAAACGGGTTCAAGAATGTATAGGCAGTCTAATTGGTCAAAATGTATGACACCACGTGACCGCGTGCACCTTTCTTTCCTACCACGCCTACAACCAACATCATCACCATCTTATTCTCCCTCCGCTATATTTCGGAGATCAGCGATCCCATGGGCCGCAAGACATATTATAACTAAACTGGTCACAGGAGCACAAGAGTGAAGCTAAAGAGTAACATCAATGCAGTGGACTGCATGATAGCAGTCGATCGCGATAAGTGCATTTTATAAACATAGAGTAAAGTAATAGATAGTAGACTTCTATACGTATTCAATGGCAGGACATGATCATGTGGGAGTAGCACTAGTAAGAAAGTTTCCACCTAAAAGTGATAACCCACGGCTAAAGATGATATGATAAGGCCTTTTAATTTTTGTTTATTGTATTGCCCTTTATAGGTGCCAAAACATGGGTCGGTCGGTCGGGATTTTTTCTTTCGCCCTCTTTGGCTGACATTTCCCAGTTTGTTTTAGTTAATAAACGTATTTTTCTAAAAATACCGTTTTATAGAAGAAAAAAATGTATTAAAGCATTCAAATTTGAGAAATATCTGCCCCAAAGAGGGAGTAAAAAATGACCGACCCATGTTTTGGCACCTAAAGGGCACTTTATGCGCAAATGCGTTAATCTGACCCGACCCGCATTATGCGTATCTCTGACTAGCCTCTTGTCGATGGCCCTCGCTTTGTTGGAGTCCGTAAATTCTGGCTTCGCTCGCCAGAATTTACGGACTCCAACAAAGCGAGGGCCATCGACAAGAGGCTAATCTGTGACCCGCACAAAATTACTGTGATGTCTTTCAAAGAATATTTCGGCCCATGACGGCGGTTAGGTCACGGTTAACCTGATAATGAAAATGAACTCGACAAATCTCGTCTATTATCCACTAAAGGACCCGCAAACATAAATTATTTGCATACCGTAAATGCCTTTATAGGCCTACAAGGAACGGTGCAAAGTTCAGACATTTCATTGCATAAACTGCTATATCTACACATATCACTGTACAACATCAATAGTGTTTTGTCAGTTTGTGAAAGGTGCACAAATTAAACTTGTGTTCATATTTGTGTTCATATTTGCGATAATCTTTTGACCAGATTTAGAAAGCTTGAATCACACAACTACTACTTCCAACAAGCTTCTAACTTATTCTTTAAAGGTAGAAAACGTGGCGGAGAAAGGTAGGCCTACACGAACCTCTTTTAAAGCGATTATCATCAGAATCACATTTCATAAATGGCAAACCGTGTATTCGTATATGGAACCCTCAAAACAGGCCAGCCCAACCATTCTATGATTCCTGGAGCTGGATCAGTACGCTGTCGATTTTTCGGTACGGGCAAGACAGAAACAAAATGGCCGCTGGTGATTGCAACAAAATACAACATTCCTTTTCTCTTGGACTGTGAAGGAGAAGGACACGTGAGTATCTAGTTTGCCTTTCGGAATAGATTCTAACGACAGAGAACACCCGGCAATTAATTTAATGATAAGGGTGAAACTGACGCTCAGGCCCCCCTACCCCCCCCCCCCGTTTTCAAAGGCAGGATTGATTTGATTTAATGTGATGTGAGTTGACTTGATTCGAGCTGATAAGATGTTCATTTTGGTTTGATTTGATTTGATTTGTCAAGTATAATGCATTCAAAACACACGAAATTTGTAACGATATACTCATAAAACACTGGGTTGACAACTTCCACCGATGCGGTCCTAAAAATAAACGTAGACAACTTTCTGGAAAAAAATTGATCTGGATAATCGTAATTCTGTTTCACATAGTTACATGTGAGTAAAAAATAACGCCGATCGCTTCATACGTTTGCAGGACTCCACTTCGACACAAGCTCCAATAAAAAAAAAGCTGTTCCTCGGTCACTAACCTACAATACCTAACTTCAAACCTAGACCGACCGCTAATCCTAACACTAAACCCAAATGCGATCACAGCCCAATAATAATGAATAGTGCTTGTGGCAAGATTGCCTCTTTCATACAATTAAAGGTAAAAAACCAGTTTTGGAAATGCCCCCCTCTCAAAAAATGAAATGGAAGCTCTTATTACTAATCATGTGAAAGAATATGTTTTGACTAATACATGATGATAAGAAAAATGCCGGAAAACCGCCTACTAATTGATATATTTGATAAATTAGTTTATCTATTTGGACGTGATAGATATAACGCATGTGTGCGTAGTCCAATATACGTCTTTCTGTGTACAGTGCTTGTAACTTTACCAAGACTGAGCCAAATTTTCTTATCATTTTGATGATTCCAGAACCTTGCAGTACACACCAATACTTATATGCTGGATGATCAACCTTTTCTGATCGATTCCACAACGTTTCTTTCACAATGCAATCGCATGACCATAAGTAGTCTTAACATTTCCAATCTTTCTCGTAGAACGTCTATGGCGAGGTGTACGAGGTCGATGACGATCTCCTTGCTCACCTCGACGAGGTAGAAGGTTGCCCTGATAGTTACGAACGCAGAAAGATCGTGATAGGAATGGACAAGATAGCAGATGGTTCTGAGCCGAATACATTAGATTGCTGGTGTTATCTACTACCAAGGTGATTCGTACATCCATTCCAATCCAATCCTGGATTTTATAAAGCGCCACGAAATGATGTGTATCTTCTTCTTCTTCTTCTTCTTCTTCTTCTTCTTCTTCTTCTTCTTCTTCTTCTTCTTTCTTCTTCTTCTCCTTCTTGCTTTTCATATTCTCGTTCTTAGCTCTTCTTATTCTTCTTATTTTCATTATCATTATTATTATTATTATTATTATCATTGTAATTATGATTAGTATACAAATATTCACTGTCTTGAGAGGTTCTGGGTAAAACTATGGGTACTAGGTGACTCCAATAGTACAATTTACTATAAATATTAAAAAAGGATAACCTTTTAAATGTTTTGATGTATTATATTAACGGATATCAATACACAACTTCCTTACAAATAACATGTCGAAAATTATATTTACTCTATCTCGACCGATACAGGTACAGACCATCTGTACTGTCACTTGAGAAATATGAGAGCTACGACAGTAATGGTGCCCACGGCAAGCAGTTCGACAAGACGAAGGGCCCGGGCGAGCCACTAGAGGCAGTCCACAAAGAGATCGCCATGTTACGTATACGATAGCAGATGGGACATCCCAGTAGACCGACAGCCGAGTAGGCTGACGTCCCAGTAGAACGGCCTCCAAAGAGAACGACAACCTAGTAGACCGATAGACAAGAGACAAACAGACCAGTCTACCAACAGCCTGCGAGACCGACAGTCCCCGAGACAGATGACCCATTACACCGACAGCCCACGAGAACAACAACAACATAGTAGACCGACAGCCTACGAGGCCGACAATTTTGTTATCATGAAACTTGTTAAAAATTGATCAGACGTCCGCAAGACCGACATGTCGGTCTCACGTCGGCTTTCGGTCCCATGGGTTGCCGGCCTCGTTTTTCCTTTTTTGACTATATCTGCAGAGAATTCGTAATTTTGCACCCCAGTTGAAGAAATTCACAGTACTTTGCTCTGTTGCATTAATAGAAGTACGAGGCTGTAAGGGGGTAGGGGGGGGGGGAGGATCCCCGATTATTTTCAAAATTCTAACATTCATCAACCATTATCTATTATCTCATATTCGGGAATCGACATGCCCACATATTTATGAATATCATTATATTTATATCATTTTTATATCTAAGCTAGTGAATTTTGATGATGGAATAACATTTTAAAGGAATCAAGTTTTTCATTTTAGCTTGCTCGCTCCGCTAAGTTGCACAATCTTACAACAGGCTGAGTCTTGGCAACTGGATCCCCCCCAAATCCTAATATTCGGGCAGCGTCTATTTTGATGACGAAGTATTATCTTTACCGCAATGAAAGCGACTAAAACCTAGATACGCCACTGGAAGGGAGGAATTGAGGAGGGAAAATGTAAGAGGGAAGATGGAGGGAGGGAGGGAGGGATAAAAGACGGAAAATGAAGGATGTGAGAGAGGAGAGAAGGAAGAAAGGAAGGAGGGAGCGTGATCATGCTTTCATGTTTAACCTTAATTTCCATCATCTAAAAACAAAGCAACTCGTGAACCCATTGATATTGTCATCTCCTTCATCATTATCCATTACATCGCAAAACAATCATCGTCTACCATCCTGGGTTCGGATTCTATTCCAGCAAATACTTCTCTGTTGCCCGGTTACCTCACCCCGCTTCAGCATCTTACCCTTCATCGATACCCGAATCTTAAAGGCTAATGTTGATCATGTAAAATTGTAATATATCATGATGCATTGTTTTGTAAAATGGTACAGCATTCTTTCCTTTTTATATGTGTCAATGGAGAAACATTTTTTCAAATGGTGATAGCCATGTTTGGCTGGTATGCTATAGTAAAACTGTCAAATGTCACGTTTTACGTGATATTCATGAACCCTTCTCTCAATTTCCACTTTAATGTAACATTATTGCTCTGTAACTCTGTCTTTTTTTAGATTTAAAGACTAGGGGGAAAAGCAATCAATATTTTCCCAGGGTTCATTACATTTAAAGATGCCAAAGATAGATATTTATAACATATAAAATGTTAAAGGCTATAACTATATTTCATGAATTTCCGAGTCTTTGCTATGATGTGTACAAAGACCTACAAAGAATGTGGAAAAAGCCTTCCTGCTGTTCTTTCTTGGTTTAAAAATAGAAAAGCTTAAATGAAACATTATAGTATCGCGGTAACAGCGTTTTCAGACCAAAAGACATTCAGGTCGCAGGCATAAATAATATATAGATTTTTTTTTAACTGTCTGTATGAACTCTTCCGGCTGCAATCATCGGTCAGGCGGGAAAGCAGTGCGGTAAAATATCGATTTGAATACAACTATTCAAATTTCATAGATTTTGTTTCTGATAAGTCAAATGAACGCACATACGTTGTATCTCTACCTTAAACTTTGAATTTAAAGGGACGTCCAAGCTTAAAGGTAATACAAAGTTCTGGGAAATTTTGAAATTAGGTGGATAGTGATTCTTTACAATTTTGATATATTTGGATGCTCCTGTGGATGTATTATAAGCACTAGAAATGTTAGCCCCTAAAACACTTCTGCTTTCGAGTAAAATTGAATTTCAAATAGCGCCTACGACCGTTCAATGGTAGCTGCGACCATAAAAATCTCAGAATATGTAGTTGTGATATATAATTTCCAAACGGGAATAGATAATCGGTCGATTTTAGTCGAGAAATATTGTTTTATAGCTTAATTAATATCTTGACCTTGAGAGGGAGCTATACAAAAAAAAACTTTGTATTACCTTTAATAAGCAATTTGCTCCAGGTGAAAGAAGAAAGATCAGAGAAGCAGATTGGACGAAAGCAGACAAACAATAAAAAAGATAGGGATTGTTGAAAGTTGTAATCACTAGGCCTTACATGTAGTGCCCAACACATATCCGTATTGATGTATCAACAAAGAAAACGACTATTTTTTTTTCTTCTTCAAAATGTATTTCTCCGGTGGGTCATTACTTTTCGGAGATCTATATAATAAAAACGCTATCCATAATACTTTTTGATAGGTGCCCAAATGGAGAAGCCTTTAATATAGGAGAGAGACTTAATTAGAGCATTAGAGAAAAGTAATGATGTTATAGTAAACGGCAAACAAGAGAGTTGACCGTGGAATACATCACAATCCACTAACCGCATTGCCAATTTGAGATTCGCATATATATTTAGTGATCTCATATTTCAGACATCCATAACTTCTTAATACTTGTCCGATTTTTTTGAATTTTTTTGAATTCTTTTTTCTTTTTTTCTTTTTTTCTCTCACTTTATCGAATCTTGTAAATATGTGGTATTCGTGATTTGTTTCAATAAAATACGCAAAGAAAAAAAAGAAGAAAAAAAGTTTTGGAATTCTGTTTCTCAATTTCCTGCTTTCACACTATCATAAATGAACTTATTTGCAAAGGTTGCTTGCCCTTTAATACCTTTTTACAACTTATAAATGACCTTCAAGAGATAGAGAATGTACATCACCGTGTGCACGTGACTGGTGACATGTACAGTCGTGGAATTTGTTTTCCCCCTTCTTCATGTTCATTGTCTGCTCATCGTTTCTACTCCGAACGCGATTTTTAGAAAATAATGCGATTACAAAAATAAAAGAATGTTGTAAGTTTGAACGAACGGGGATGTGAATGGCAGATAATTCTCAGTATTCATGCTTGAAGGTTAAAAAGCTGTGTTATGAAAGGATGCGGTAAACTGTAATAATTTGAAAAGTTGTTTGTATTGCAAATTTCTTCCAAAGGTTGAGTTGCTCTTTGATATCTTTTTACAGCTTTCAAATGCCCTCTTAAGATATGGACGATGTACATCAGCGTGTGCACGTGATGAGTAGCATGTACATCGTGGAATCCACCCTTCTTCCTGTTCATTATTCTCTCATCGTTTCTACTCCAAACGCGATTTGTAGAAAATAATGCGATCAATTTTATTGTTAATGTTGTAAGTTTGAATGAACAGGATGTGAATGGCAGATCATTCTGGGTATTCATACTCGAAAGTTAAAAAGTTGTGTAAAAAAAATGATGCGGTAAACTGTGATAATTTGAAAAGTTGTTTGTATTGCACATTTCTTGCAGAGGTTGGATTGCCATTTGATACCTTTTTTCAGCTTGCAAATGCCCTCTTAAGATATGGACGATGTACATCAGCGTGTGCACGTGATGAGTAGCATGTACATCGTGGAATCCACCCTTCCTGTTCATTATTCTCTCATCGTTTCTACTCCAAACGCGATTTGTAGAAAATAATGAGATTACACTTTGTTTTAATTGTGTAAGTTTGAATGAACGGGATGTGAATGGCAGATCATTCTGAGTATTCATGCTCGAAAGTTAAAAAGTTGTTTAATAAAAAAATGCGGTAAACTGGAATAAATTGAAATGTTTTTTCTATAAACCTCACCTCTTATTAAAGCTGTACACAGTGTTGGCGATAAACTAAAGTGGGGGGGGGGGGGGTCCAGGGGCACGTGCCTCCTCCCCACCCCACCCCACAGTTCCTAATCTTAAAGACACAGTACAGAAAAGAATGTAGAAGTGTCACTTAAATGACGCCACCTACTACCCCTCCCCCCCCCCCACCCCCCGAAGGGAGCGGTACTACCCTACAAACATATGATGTCAGTTGACAAGATGATCCATCACATATATAATTGTTCTCGTAAAAGCAATGAAACCTGAATTTCTATTCGTGAGCTCTTCAGGAATTCACAGATTGGACTTGGGGGCGTGGCGTTTTTATGTCGGGGAAATAGCGATCGCGGCTAACAGTCTAAGTGCCCCCGTGTCCAAACATCTTTATTTCATGCATATTTCAGGAAAGGCTATCCTGTAATAAACACAGTAGTTTATTTATCGATGTTTACAGATATAAAATGTAAATGCCATGGGAATGAACTTGGTCAGATTTTCATGGACCGAACGCAAACTCTACCCGTCGATGTGTTTTTTTTTTCTTCTTTTTTTTTGGGGGGGGTGGTAGTGCTTTGGCTGCCAAGATCACATAGATTCTCTTTAAGAACACCACAAAAGTAAAAAGGTGTTAGAGAAAAGCAGAATGGAGGCGGAGAGAGAAACAGAGAGACAGAGAGAGAGACAGAGAGGCAGAAAGAGAGAGAGAGAGAGGGAGAGAGGTGAGGGAAAAGGCTACAGAGAAGAGACAGATAGAGGGGTTTCGACATATATTCTTAGAGGTAATGTATGCAAGGAGGGGTGGGAAAATGGGAAGAGAAAAAAAGGGGGTGGATATAAAGAAGTGAACAAAGATAGAATAAACAATTTTGGTAATGTAATCAAATTCAATGCACAGATCCCTGTTAGGTGCCTCGTTACAAATTATTTAATTCACTTGTTACGAATAATCATTTTTCGATAGTCAGAATGCGAATTACATATTAATCGTTGCTGGGTATATAGGACAGCAATATAGGACAGCAATTATGGCTTGTCCTACCTACTCTCTTTGTACGTCTTTAGAATCTCATACTATACTACTCCGTTTTCGCCTCCTATAATACCTTTTAAATCCAGACCTATTATATTGTGTTACTCAGTACGGGAGCCTATTCATATAAGCTATGCTTTTTATTAAGGCTCCCCACATTTTACATTGTTCTACCCAGCCTGTTATATATACATATCTCGAAAATTCGTACTTTTTTCCCGTACATTATATTTGATTTGAAATCTCTAAAAAAAAAATTCTTGTGTGAAATTTATTCTTGTAATAATATACGCCTGTATAAAAAAAAGAAAAGAATATAAACTGTTTTTCTATGTAAAATGTGGAATAAATAAACTTCAAAACTTCATATTCATAATATAATATATGCACTTATACTATTATTTGTAACAGGTCCATGAAATAATTTGTAACGAGTCACTTAACAAAGATTTGAGCATTAAATCTGAATAGATTTCGAAATTGGCCTATTATAGAGAAAGAAAGAGAGACAAAGTAGAAGACAGATTTCGATAAACATATCATTTACGTCACAATCTAATCTGACTGTGTTGACAATACTAATCAAACATTTTAGCTTTACTACAAAATCTGCCAACGCTACTTTGATAAACGTAATTGGACTTTGTCTCTTTGATGTTAATTGATTGTCATCCTTAATTAAGAAATGGAAGATACATCATTTATTTTGAGCGACGAAGGGGATTTCTTAGTAGTTGTAGCAAGAATTTTTTCAATCTAGGTTTTAGATTGTGACAGGTGTTTAGGATAATGGTTATCCATGCATTTTAGGCGCTTAGACCGTACTAATTTACGAGGAGGTTGGAGGGGGGGGGGGGGGCTTATATAAATTCACATTATGTATATTATGAAATATGAAATTAAAATCTCTAAAATATTGATTCGTCAGAATTTTTGTCAGTATATTGTGTTTCGAGGAAATAAAAGTAATTCAACAATTTTTATAAAAGCATGGTCGAATTTATATAACATATTCTTTTCCAGTCATACACAAAAATTATTCCATGGACAAAAATTTATTAGTAGAGATAACAGTTCTACATAATACACAAAATAACTTTTTTTAAAGTAAATAAAACAAATTCATCGGTTCACAATTTAAATCTATTTTTTTTTCTTCAAAACCCGTTATGTATTTATATAACTCTGAAGAACTTCGGATTTCTATTACATAGCACTTCGTGTCAAATGAATATACATCTTAATGTTTTGGAGAAGTCCCTGTACCTTGCAATTCCACCTAAAAACCAAGCGAACGTCTGCCACGCCCACCTACACCTTGACCCTCCGACAGAGAGGGGAATTCCCAGAGTCGCCACCTATTACCCTCTCCAATCCTGGGATAAACGGACACCAATGGCATGACGTCACATCGGGGAAGTCCCTAATAGTGATATCATGGCTGTTTTCGGAGTGGTCAGTATCATCATAGTTTTTAAAGAAATGCAAAGGAAGAGATGAATGGTGTGTGGTGTTATCTCTACGATGTGGCTGATAGTTAATAGACCTGCAGTGTATAGGAAAATACCCGTTACCAGTGAAAGGGGAAACATATAAAGAGAGAGAGGGAGAGAGAGAGAGACCGACAGAGAAAGGAAAAGGAGAGATAAAGGGAAGGGCGCTGTAGAGGGAGAGAGGGTTGGAGAAGTGCAATGAGGAACAGGGATGAAAAATGAAAGGGGAAAATTATTTATAGAAAGAAGAAGGAGGAGAAGGGGAAAAAGCGAGATAAAAAATTCCAACACATCCAGATAGAAAAGGGAAAATACCAAAAGGGTTTAGGACGCTTATGCGACTGTTTGATTAGGTATAGTTTACTTTACACTGTTTAACCCCCCCCCCCCCCTCTGGCCTGTTACACTGGTATACACTATCTTACGGGGATGTAACACATTTCGTTTATCACCCTTTTCATTGCCAACAATATAGATATAACCTACTACGATTCAGTGGCATTTGGGGTTCACAAACGGATTGATGTGTTGCAATAAAATAATCATGATCGCTGTTAAAAATAGAACTAGGGCGGGTTTGTTATGACAGTTGTCTATTTTTATACTCCGGAAGAAAGTGAAGTATAGTGAATAGAGACGAATGTGATTAAGATATCTTGGTAGGCAACTTCAAGAAAGAAAGAGTATTATTCATAACATGAATAGAGTGCTACATTTTGCCCTACTTCCATCTCTAATACTTATGCTATTTTATTGATTTTCATCTTCAAAAACTCTATGATATAGATGGATGTCGGAATATTTTTTACATTTAGACAAATTAAAAAAATGGGTCCGTTCTAAATGTTAAGTTGCCAATTATACTATGAAATTATTACAAACTCATTAAAAATGTTCAGGTACCAGGGTCCTTGAATTTGGAATTCAGTTCATACTAATAATACGTCCTGTACAACCAGGTACTGTGAAATGAAAATGTCTACCCCCCCCCCCCTCCTCTCAAAACAAAAGAATGAGTCAGTTAACCTAAATTTCTAATCCTGTTTCTGCCCTACGTACTTTGCTCCTCTTCACTTTCTTTCTCGTTCCCTTTATCCTTCTCATGTTATCACTGTGTCTCCCACTTTCGGGGAGTCGTGTCGACTCGTGTGTATGTGTGAGTGTTTGTGGGTGTGGAAGTATTGGACGCTTTTGTAACCCCACTGCATGAAAGTAATATATATGAATTTATGAAAATTAATTAGTTGTAGTCCCTTGTGTTTTTCAGTGCAGTGACGATATTAAAGTCACCATAATTAATATCCCGTAACAACCAACTACGACTAAAGTTTTGACAATATTGCTGTCGTAGAAAATAATTTGGACTCGTACATTCCTTGTGACGAATTATTGAGAGGAAGGGAGCCTACCCGTCTTAGAAAAGCCCCGATTGGTTGCAAATTGCTTTGACGTCAGAGTGGTCGTAAGACTGGCCATTAGCCTGTTTGCATAGCCGATTTTTCTCTATTTGGAAGGCATGACATATCCCGCATTTTGATTGCAATGAGATGTAAAATCTTTGATTTCGAAATTCGATATTTAATTGAAATCAAAGAAATAATTATTTTCTTCCATTTTTTTCTCTTCGCATTTCACAACTATTCAAATGATAATTTATCCAGTGAAAATGAACATAACACCAAGAGCGACGTAATACAGGGAGAAAGGTGTAAATTCCTTTAAGCAGGAGCTTGTGCTTTCCTCTCTTGTGTTTATCACCTGCGTATCCAAACTGGACGATACAACCGTATGATGTGAACGGTGCATCTCACGTTATAATTCGAATGTAAACACGCCCTTTGCTAATTGATAGTGACATTAAAGCACTGAATGGATGGCATAACCGTGTGCAAATGTTGCTCATTGTCATTAAGGATGTTTGCTCTATACCGCTCGAATTATCAGTAAATACCTGCTGGTATATAAACATCGTCTGTCCCTCTGTTGTGTCAGAATCAACGAAGGTCTGGTCAATTTTGTAGGGGGTAGTTCCGTTGTGAAGGATGTTTAGTAGCTAACCCATGTGACGTAAAGGTTGAGGCATTTAATAATAGCATGATTCGTCGTCAATCGGGAGTGAAAAGATGACATTTCTGCGTAGCCTTGGAGAGATTGCATTAACGACTGCTGAATGGTGAGTTATGATAGATCGAATTTTATTTTGTATATTGATATTCGATGTGTCTCATTGTTTTTCTTTTTTCTTTTGCATGTACTTTGAAGCCTAGTAGGTTCTTAAGGGATTCTAAAATATTGAGTTATGGTATTTAGATTTTGGGTGGGGTGGGGGGATATTTGGAATTTTCGATTTCATGATGATATATGATCTGTCCCTTGGTTTATTTTTGTCTTATCTTATTTGAATACAATGTTATACAATATTGAGTAATGATATTTTAATTTTATTATTTTGGGGGGATATGTGAAATTTCCCATTGTACGACGATATAGTTAGGTTACTTTAGTTTATTTTCTTTTTTTGTCTAATTTGATGCCTATAGGTTTAAACTTATTTCAAAAGATTTCGGTTAAGTAGCCACGATGGAAATTAATTTTTAAATAATCACTTTCATACTTTGAAATTACTAATTCCGAATATAAATGCTTTATTGAAATGAATTACTCTGCATGGTTATTCCTGGTTTATGACATAATGGATAAAAGTATAAGGGAAAGGAGAAGGAAGAGAAGAATTGTAAAACAAAGAAGAACAAATTTGTTTTAGCAGATAAGGTAAAGGCAATAGAGCTATATAACAGGCAGAGGAAAGGGAGCAGCTGAAGGAGAAAACACGATGTGTATATCTCGAAAACATGGCAATAAACGTAAAACGCGGTGTCTATTAATATTTTTAAAGTTTCATATTATTCTTACGTTAAAAGCCATCATTATACGCGTACACGCATTCATACGATATTATCGATTTCGAATGTACATAAACGCACCATTATGGCCGGCGGACGTGGACTGAATGTGGCATAAAACTATATTTCCTAGTGCTTCCATATCTGATATCGATCGGTATGAATTAGGTCGCTTTACGAATGTAGTCACTTCTTGGTTTTCAACAAAAATGTACGATCAGATATGCCGCTGTACTATCAGGGTTGTTCTTTTTTACATTCTTTAATAAATTATTGAGTAATTGATTCACAGCAAATTCAAATGTTGAAAAGCTTTTGGGGAAAGCTCACGCACACCCGCTGCTCACAAAATAAGCACGAGTTGGATATATTACGCTAAATCATTCTTTTCTTTAGATAATGATGTTTTTAATTCCTTTGCTTGTAACTCCTTTTTATATTAACTGTTCATCAGATCATTTATCAAATTCTCACAAAGCAAGATATGGTGAAATTATCCACCCCTCCCCCTATATTATTTAGCTGCTCCTCGACATGTTTCATGTCACACACACAAATACGATTGTTTGGCAAGATCACGTTGAAAACCGAACCATGATGAATCACGACATTTCATAATCTGTATACGATGGGGAGAGGGGGAGTGTGTGTGTGTGTGTGTGTGTGTACGTGCGTGCGGGGGTGGGGCCACTACCGGTGATACAGTTAAAGACTCTTTTTGCGTTGTATCATTAGAATACTCACAGAAATGAAATGTATTCATGACTATGCTATAGAACATTTTCGAGTACACGAAAACAAGAAAATTCAGGCCAAATCATTTAAACAATTTTCCAAACATTACTTTTCAAACAGACTTCTTGTTGGCAATGATTTTATTAAATAGTCACATACCAAGACGGAATATAAATGTTCACCGGGCTTCGATTTCCTCGATAAATTTCATTCATTCGAAAAAGAACTCGATATTTTATTTTTCACATTTGAAATGTTTGGCGAGCAATCTTCAGCGTAGGAATATTGTGATAACATGATGAAACAGAACCCACTCAAAGTGAATGAACCAATATCGATTTCAATCCGAGCTCTTTAAAAAAAAAAAACCTTTACAAACATTATCTTTCAAACAGACCTCTTGTTGGCAATGATTTTAATTAAATAGTCACATAACAAGACGGGATATAAATGTTTACCGGGCTTCGATTTCCTCGATTAATCATCATTCATTCGGAAAAGAACTCGATATTTTATTTTTCATGTTTGAAATTTTTGCCGAGCAATCTTCAGCATAGGAATATTGTAATAACATGATGAAGCAGAACCCACTCAAAGTGAATGAATCAATATCGATTTCAATCCGAGCTCTTTAACAAAAAAAAACCTTTTCTAAACATTACCTTTCAAACAGACTTCTTGTTGGCAATGATTTTAATTTGATAATCACATAACAAGACGGGATATAAATGTTCACCGGGCTTCGATTTCCTCGTTTAATTATCATTCATTCGGAAAAGAACTCGATATTTTATTTTTCACGTTTGAAATGTTTGCCGCGCAATCCTTCACGTTTGAAATGTTTGTCGAGCAATCCTTAGCGTACGAATATTAAGATGAATTGATAGAGCGTAGCCCACTTTTAAAGTGAATTAATCAATATTGGATTCAATCTAAAGTTGTCTTTCCCAACAAATAAGATTGAGTGTGCCTGAAGTACTTTTCTGGGGCACTACCAACTGAATAACAAAGTATTTCACATACAAATTATTTAAAAAGAAATATGTTACAAGCTAGGAAAAGCATTGTAATTTTCCAACCAATGTGGTCATTATCAATTCTAACGAATCCAGCCTTCCTCTCTTTTCTTATTTTGTTATTAATTTATTAGTTTATCCATTTTCATATTTATAAATTGATTGGGTTTTTTTCTTGATCTATCTATCTATCTATCTAGTAACTTACTTACTAACTTAGTTAGTTATCAATTTATCTATTTATTTTTCAACTGACCAGCAGCGTATATGTTTAAAGGCTCAGCTTACAAACAAGTAACACAAATCTTTAACAAAGGCATTTTTCAAATTAACATTACAAACATAATTATGCTAATTTCCTTAAAGTGTATTTATTTCAACCGTTCACACGAAACTGTAGAATATTTGATTGACATCATTTTCTGTAATTCCAAACCCATTTGTTTCTGTTTACAGAATCAAACAGCGATCTGACATTTCGTCTAAACTACAGTCACCTTTGACAAGCAATCTTCATTGTTGTGTGTTTTAACTGGGAACAGGAACCTATCGCTCGTAATTATTAAATGGACACCAGTGTGACATTAAAAACCAGTACGACAAAGAAAATCTGTATGGCAATTTTCTAGAAACGCCATACACAGACAACCTCTGATTTTTTATTTACTCTCCATCTACATGATGCTTTTTCTAATGGAATCCAGGCAGCTTTCGAACTAAATCATTAAGCATTGATGTAAATTGATCAGGAAATTTTCTTGTGTAAAGGACAGGAAGCCGGGGTTAGTCCGACAGAGACTCTATGAATAAAGTATGAACACTCTCACATTCGACCGAGTAGTTTTTACTAAAAGCCATTAGCAAGAGCAATATATATATATGAATAAGGTCAGGACTAACATATTAACAGACTAATAGAAAATAGTACAAAGCAAAACTGACTATAACGACGCGACATGCTCTTCGTTGTCTTTGTCCAAGTCTACGCATTGAAGTTGACACTGAAGTATACACAATATTACTAAGAGCTAGCGTATCTGTCAATATAACATTTCATTTTCAAAAACTAATTGAAAATGAGTCAACTTACGAGCACTAGTGCAATATCAACAGAGTTTGCAATCATGGATGGTTACATCTTTGAAACAAACATGACGAATGCTACTACTGATGAGCCCCTCCACGAAAGGGACAGTCCTGAAGGGATAACCGAAGCAGCTACCCTCATCGTCATCATGATCGCTTCGTTCTTCGCAAACATCTTGGCGATGACGCAGATCCTGACGTCGAAGAAGCTCAGGAAGATCCACCACAATCTCCTGATCGTCAATCTCAACGTGATCGACCTAGGAATCACTGTTTTCAGCATGACATTCTCCGTTGCCGCCATCTTTGATGATGGATATCTCTTGAAGAAAAACCCGATCGTCTGCACGGTAGGTTGATCTTCCTTTCCCGTATGTTTTAATGGGAGAGGGACACACGTATTTACGAAGTTTTATTTTCTCTGAAGGTTCATTTTTCTTATTAATGGTCCATATTTCAAGAAGGTTCATTTTTCTGGTAATGAAATATGGTCTTCTGCACTTTCAAACCTTCCGAATGATGATACCTATGTCATTTTCAGAAGGACGAAACCTTTTCATTTCCTAATTAAGAACTTTCGGAATAAAAAAAAACCTTAGTACTAACGAAATTTTGGAATAACAAACCTTAATGAACCTTCGGATTAACGAACCTTCGGAAAATTACCCTTTTTTAAAGAAAAGATTAGTACTTGCCACGTAAGTGCGTTGTTAATGAAACTTTATCAAAATCATTGAGATTTCTGAATTATCGAAATTGTAGCGATTGGACAGAATAGTGTTGAAAATCGGAAACAATAAAATTCCCTGCACACTGATATTGGGAAATGGGACCACCCACATAGACGTGCCATTATTAATTTGGTCAAACATCTTTAAAACATTTCTTGTCATATTCTAACATTGAGTACAAGAAAATACATAATGAAATAAGTTAAAGATGGTTTATCTCTATTTGCGAAAAAGATAAAAGTAGTATAGCCATTAATTTCCCATGAGATAGTTTTGATACCGATTTTGTAAATTATCATCTTATCTGCCAAAGTGAGCACAGCTGTGATGAGCTATCACATAGAAAACGCATTAATAAAACGCTATTAATAGAAAACGCACCGAAATTCCTGATATCTATAATATGTTTTTTAAAACGCGTCATTTTCTGCAGAAGGAAAATAACTGGACAATCTATTGGGCTTGTAAGTTGGCATATATTTCAATACTTTTGTTTTTCTTTTCCGAAATTAAGACTGGAACGATGGCCTTCTATACTGATTAGAGGTTTGTTATATACATGTATAATTAATTAACTCTGAATAATAATGTGCCAATTCATAAACCTGCAGCTGACCGGTAAATGATCCCGGATACTTTCAAATTGAAGTTGGTGTCTAAAATTCATACCCTTTAATAATATTGAGGCATATCAATGGGAAAATTGAAATTCGGTTGATAAGAGAAGGTATTCTGCATTTGCATTTGTTACAAAACCTAAGATTTGATGTATATTATCCTCATCCAATGCTTGTGTCTCCGCCACATGACTTCACTATCCTGCCCCCAGCAGTAGTGACCCCTACGATAAACAGTATGTCAAGTTTGTGACAGCTTCCTGGTTGAGGGGTCTCGGGCGTGTATTAGATAATCGACCTTAATCTATAAAACGAAACCATTCAAAAGCCTATTTTTAACCTAAATAGGCCATCCACAACATCACGATAACTGCATCATAATCTAACCCTAGATAATACTTGAATATTTGCTATGATGGAAATTACTAACAATTATGGTCCCATAAGAAAACATCGAACAGGTGCTTGAAATTAACCGACAGTGCTCTTTTTCGATCTTGAAGAACTGAAAGGGGAACTGCTCTGTTTAGTAGAGATTAACGCTACCCAACATCAGTTGCCATTCTCAACCAAGTGGAACTCTGAATTCTTTTGAATTCCTATACATTCAGCAAACAATATTGTTATATTATGTATAATACTAAGACTTAATCTCTACTTAATCTCTACTTTCTGTTTCGCTTGTGCTATTTGTCTTTTGTAGATCCTCTTTTGTTTCTCAGATCCTGAGTTGCATCTAATACCTTTTCACCTGTCAATGTTGTGATTATGGTGGTGAAAATGTACCTACGACTTTGGGGTCATTGTAAATGGCGAAGCTACAGAGACACTAACCCTAATATTATGAACAGGGTATCATTGGACAGAAAACAAGTTACTCTTCATCATGAAATCTATTTCAAAGTCATATTGGTTATGAATTTTTCATTAGAAGCCATCAAAGTTGGGTACACTTTTTTAACCCCCTGTATTGCTTGACACACGTTATGCCGCATTGTATAAATACTAACATTAGGAGTCGAGATTTCATAAATTGAACTGTTAAGTTTTTCCTCGTTAGTGCTGTAATATTTTCATTTAACACCAAATTGCATGTACAGTAGCCATACTGTCTTTCAGATGTCAAGTTCAATTTGACCCACCACTGAAATTGCAACTGTTGACGGTATCACCATCACGCTGCCAACAATGTTTGAATTTACAACTACTTCAGGAGATGAGTGACAAGGAATACGTATTGTTATGTCAAATCTTACATGCTTTTTACATTTCCACTCAAAGTCCCAACTTTCTCACATTATTTCCTACAGATCAATGGATTCTGCGCCATCACCTGTAGCGTCGGTAATTTCACCAATGTCATGTGCATCGCCGTTGATCGATACATCTCCATCGTCTGGTCGACACGTTTCCCGGCATCGCGACGTCGAGTGTACTTCATGATCGCTTTCGTCTGGGTGGTCAGTATCACCATCACGCTGCCACCAACGGTCGGGTTTATCTCATATTTTGTGTACACCGACAAAACCCACCACTGCTCTCCCAGTTGGCAAGATTATAGCTATTACATAATATGGTTCACGGTTATTTTTGGTGTGACAGTACCGGTGATGATCATCAGCTATGCATGTATCATTTATCACATCCGACAAAGCGATCGGCAACTCCGCGTTTACGACGGTATGAAAACAAGCGCGAACATATCAAAGCAGTTGTCAGGGTCTAAGGGCAGTGGTAGTCTGCAGAGCTCACAAAACCTTGGGTCGAATACGTGTCGTGATTCGCATCGCTGTCGCTTACCACATCCGGCTGTCAACGCCCAACCCGCTCACCTCGGGAAACACAACAGTGATGGTGCCTCTGAAGCAAGTCTGAACCGAGGATTTCAAGGTGATGGTCTCGATCTTCATAAGATCGTAATGGACGAGAATGAAGCCGGAATAACCGATCTTCATAAGATCGTTATAGACGAGAATGAAGCCGGAATAACCGATCTTCATGAGATCGTACTAGATGAGAATGAAGCCGGAAGAATGGCGCCAAGACTCTTTGTGATATCTGGACGGAGATGTAGCCTATCTACAACACAGTCCTTGCCGATCTTTGGTCCGTCCAAAAAGGAGAGCGACTCGAAAACGCAGGACGCCAGTCAAAGCAACAGTCAGAGGGAGACTTGTTCAACGCATTCCAGATCGAGAGCAGTTTCCTGTCCTGTAGAGAATGGAGAGCATGCGAGGGGACACAAGGACTCGGACCATCGTGTCCATCTTGACAATGCACTGAATAAGCTGTCGGCAAGGAAACTGAGCGTGGACAAACGGGTGGCTGTCACTGGTAAAATATTGTGTTAACTTCACTATTTTCTTTTCTTTTTAGCAGAAATTATTCAGGTATTCAGGAACCATGCTATGTAAGCGAAGATAGTCCAACCTTACGAACAAGTTTACGAGCGCCTTTTCTGATTTACAACATGTTGATATATAGCGTGTCATGACAACAATCTCAAAAATTCATTTTGCCCCCTCCCCCCAAAAGATACATAGTTGACCAGGTTACCGTAATGAATATAAAATCCGTTGCACACAAGGCGTCATTTCCTTGACGTAGGACTGCGTCACCAAATGGGATGTCTTTGACGCATGTTGTGAGATCTTACCAAAATGATTTTAGCTGCAGGAACAGTGCGCATATTGCGTTGACTAAACGGCGCATGGCAAATAAAAAGGGCTGATTAACGCATTCAATAACGCAACCAGAATGGCGTGTCGTATTCAATGGACACGAGGCTAATATTCGAATGTGTTTTAAAATATCACGTCTTGTAAAAATAATGATGTTAACGATAGAAATGCAGTCAGTCTTTTACAAATACTCCCCTTTTCTGTTTCTTCCTTAAACAGGAGCCATGTTGATCCTCACCACAATATTCTGTTGGGCGCCATACTGCATTGTCCACTTCCCCAATTTTCCAGAGGTCAGCCATTCTGTAGCGGCGGCCACCATGTGGATCGCATACGCGAATTCCATGATGGATCCCCTCGTCTATGTGTTCATGAACAGGAAAGAAAGCACCATCCAACACCTGAGCAGCATCCTGACAACCTTCTGCGAAGTACCAAGAAAGACGTGGGGACGCCTTTGCGGTAAAGGCACTGACTGGTGACCTGATTCTGGTGTCGTCGTCGCCGTGTGGATAGCGTACGTCAAGTCAGTGCTGGATACCCTGGTCTATGTCTGCATGGATAGGAACAAAAGCACCCTACAAAACTTTAGCAGTGTCCTGGCAGCATTCTGTGATTTACCAAGAAAGACGTGTTTTACAGACGTCTTTCAGTGGCGAAAGAACCGTAGACTGGTTGCCTTGATCTTTCATAAGACACTCCACATCTAACTGGCCAAGAACTCTGTATTGCCCAAGACTAGTTGCGTGTGTGAAACCGATTATAATGTCTAAAGCATCCACCCTATACATACCTCAAATTCGATTGCATTTTTAACTAGGCCTTTTTATCGAGATATTTACACGTACATTTCCACATTAGACCGAGTCGCGTTTATCGCTCGTTAACCTTTTAGAAGATCAGTGTCGTTTTGCTCAAGAAAACAGGTTATGTTATCTCGAAGAAGAACTTTCATCCGTTCATTTTCCATATAGTGTACAATATCGTCGAGTCAGTCCTTACATGACAAAGACGATGGAATTGTACTTTATAATGCATGATAGCGTTTTAATGCTCAACTCAAGGAATAACCCTAGGCTCAGGACCCTATCTACCTCCTAACCTCTCTGTAAATATACTTGATGTAAGAAACAGTGACAAACCAGAAGTGTTCTCTAATCAAGTATCACAAATGGTCAGACTAATTAAATCTTTGAAGATACACACGGAAATGTGACACGAAAAGGTGGACCTGAATGCGTGCAAACGCAGGAGAGATGTGTTAATGGGAGACTGCAAAATGGAGGTTTGAGATAGGAATTGATCAAAACCACCATTCGTGCATGTTATTTATTTATTTATTTATTTACGAGATTTACACTTTTCATTTGCCGTTTATGTATATTCCAACGTGTGTTTATAACTATATCAGAGTATTAATTTTCAAGAAAATAAGCATTGCGTTATATTCATGCTTTGATATTTTATACATTTATCATAACCTTCTTTTATTTCCGTAAGTAATTAAAACGTCAATGTTGCATGTTTTATGTAGGCCAGCTACAACTTTTGATCAAATAAAAGTCGTATAGTTATGATGGCTTCTCATTCTTGGATTTCTAACTTATGATCCTTGTTTGAATAGCAAGGCTTGGAAATAAACAAACTTGTCTTTTGGTCAGTTGAATGTAGTTACGCTGAAATCACCAACCACCTTTGTATTTTTTAACTTAAAAAAAAAAAAAAACATAAAAAGAACTTGTACATTTGGGGCTATACATATAGTATCCATAGAAAACGGACATACAATGTATGATAGTACATGTAGATAATATACATTTCACCTATTAATTTTTCGCCAATTTTATTTTCGATGATTTTGTAGTTTTAAGGGGTGTTGTATGGCGAGTTTAGCAAATAAAACGTCCGTGTAACATTTATTCAGCAAACGCAGGATTCACGATGATGAGGAGGACGATCTTTTTATAGACGCGAGGCAGTAACATGCGAGAACTTTGATCAAGGATGTGTCGCCATTAAATGTACAGTACTTGAAACGGTTCTCTTAATAGCACTTAGCTATCGCTTTTGTGATATTTTACTGTCTGGTTTCAAGACCCAGAATAGTAACATTTGGTTTAATATTTTACGCGTTCCATATTTTCTTTTCAGATGACACCAATTGGCAATTAATACTTCTGCACTTTAACGGCATTACTCACAATTAAAACAACAATTGGAAATCAATTGGATTTTAATACTTCAACTCAGACTTTCTGACGTTTAGTAGCATTACATCTGTACAAATTTATGTTTTTTATTCTCTCTAAGTGTCTAAATTTGTACTGTTGAAAACTATTAAGTCATGTAAAGTGGTATAAATAGTATTAGTTGATGCCACAAGCGTTGTTAATTTTCATACAATTTAATAAAAATGCCATCACGCTTGATATCTTGAAGTGTCATCCTAATAAATGCCAGTTTTAAATATTAAAATAGATTTATAGATGGATTGTTATTGGTGGAATTGGATAGAAACAGGTACGTTAGATTGAAAACAGAAAATATAATATAAAGTACGTTATATGGAATGTCTGTTGTTGTCGCTTTTTCTTTGCATGGCTTTACTTTTCACATTGTATTTGATTATATACTGATGATTTATAGTTTTATATTCTCGAGGAAGTAATCTTTTTTAAAATTTATTTGTGGTCAGATGTTTCCTCTGAAATTGCTGGTGATGCCGATGTTTCCTGAACTATTGTTATAATATTGAGCCGATTTCCTACAAAAGTATTGAAGATGTGATAGAATGATTTGAATACTCAAAATACTACTTTCAGGTAAGAATAATGAATGCTAGAGTGACAAAAATTACAAACTATATTCATCAAATACTCTCATACACTATGCTCATCCATGTCTCGTACAACTCTTTTGACATGTATTTGATAAATGAAAGCAAACATTGGATACAGGTAAAGTATCAGACACATAGGTGCTTCTGTTGTACTCATGTCTTAGATATTATGATGAGTCCAAAGTTTGTCTTTATCGATGATACAAAGACTGTATCAACAGCTTTGAGGAGTCCAACGACGTTACTTGAATTAAGTCGTGCACCAAAAAAAATTCTCAAAAATTAAGCTTACGTCCAGAATATCTTTAACGAACTAAAGATGACTTTAAATAGTTTATTACGATTATATTAAGAGAAGAGGATATCAACAAAAGCATCCTACTTCCTGTAGCACATGAACCTTCAAGCATATATTATACAAATAATACACAGCAGTGATGTCATTAGTAAGAATTACCCATACAAGGTACCTTTGGAACAGTCTAACACGTCCTTAGCGACAGCCGAGGGTGTTTAGACTGTTTCGAAGGTACCGAGTGTGGGTAATTTTACTGATGCCCGAACAAGTATGTATTATTTGTATAATATATGTTTTATAAGGTGATGTTTTATTTGTTTTACAACATAATGTGTTAATGAACGGTCATTAGTAAAATTACGTGTTAGACAAAATAAATGCCTGGTCACGTGTACGCTCTCAACCAATCATTTGATTAGGATCTTATAATTGCTTTTATTCATATTCCATGCAAAACTAACAAAGCATAACACATATACTTTTTATTGCGTAAATATTTCATAAATACATGTGTGTGAGTACCAAAGACACTCAAAAGAACCGTACCTTCACTTTGACGACCACTCGCAAGTCAAGGACGTCCTCGGTTCGATAACACTGTAAATTATTACAATTTGAGGTCATTTTAAGTGGGGTATGCTTTATATTTAGGTGCTTTATTTGCACGGAAAAAGTAGGTTTTTGGTCGTGCAATAAATTTCCAGATCGTCCTCGTGATGTTATATTACTACAAACATGTATGTCCTCAAACAAGTAATAACATACAGATGTATACTGAGTCCTCGATTCACACCTAAAACGTGTGTGCGTGTGTGTGCGTTTGTGTGTGTGTGTGTGTGTGAGGAATTAAGAAAGTGAAATACAAAACACATTAAAACTTACAACTTTATTTTGTAAAATAGAAATATGTTATAATCTTAAAGAGAAAGTTGAGTTCTGGTCATGCGATTGCATAGTGAGAGAAACGGTGTGGAATCGATCAGAAAAAGTTGATCATCTAGCATATACGTATTGGTGTGTACTGCAAAGTTCTGGAATCATCAAAAAGATAAGAAATTTTGCCAACTCTTGGTAAAGTTACAAGCACTGTACACAGAAAGATGTATATGGGACTACACGAACATGTGGCATAAAAATCCGTCCCGATTTTTATGCTGTTACATAACATATTAAAAATATGTAGGCATTTGAAGAGCCTTGCTTTTCAGGGAACATGTTTTATCGGATGTTCTTCCACATTTGCATAATACCAATGATAACGCTCACAAATTATTTTTTACCTCTTCCGAGAACTCAACCTTCTGTTTAATCTCAATTCTTAACGATGTTCATCTCAATAGGGGGTTTTCAAAAAATATAATATTTCATTCATCAAAGCGCCGTGATCCTTTCACATAAATCTACAACCTTATCATTTCGAAAGAAAAAAGGTAAAAAAATGATAAGGTTGAAAATTTATAGTCGTCTGCGGCTCAAAATGAGTCGTTTACTCAGGCAACGTCAGTATCACCATGGATATATAGTGGTAGATTAATTATCCAATGATCGCGAAACCATTCCATAAGATATAAATGTTAAAAAGATATAAATATTCTCATTAATCACGTGGACATGCGTAAATCCATCAGAAACTGCGCTACAGCTGCACGTATGGAACACGAAAACGAAAACAGATGCAAGGTATATCCAAAGTTAAGATCCACTACTGATCCTGCTGTAATAGCACATTTTGGTCTCTGCTTAGTGGTAGATCATTCGCTGCTGCTGCACCCAAGGTTAAGTTGTGGAACGGTCTCAATCATGACCTTGGCTCTTGTGACCATGTAACTAGACACTGCTGCAGTCTTTCTCAAGTGAATCATGAACTACACAGACAAAGGTTCTTGAATTTCACCAGCGCCTTTTTTCTTTCTTTTTTTTAAACTAAAAGTTGTTTTTTTAAAACAAAGTCCCGAGTTGGATTTAATTTGATTTGATCGTTTTAATTGTAGGAGATATACGGTTTGTGGCTTACAATATACATCTATCGCTATTCTATGACATAAATACTTTTTCTGGGAGTGAATCGAAAGATTTGAAGACATTAATAATTATTGAGAAGTCGCGCCATGCTTGCTTTATTGACATGAGTGCATTCAAACTGTGAGGATAGTAATTACAAGAAGCAGTGTCGTGTATACGTCAGTTTCATGAATGCATGAACAATTTGAAGGCAATTATTATCAAGAATCAGTACCATGATTTCGTAATTTTCATCGACGGACACCTAAATGATGGACTCCAACATCACGCATGTCAAGAACAGTCCTGAAGCGATAACTGAAGTCGTTACCCTGATCATCATCATGATCGCCTCGTTCTTTGCGAACATCTTGGCGATGACGCAGATACTGACGTCGCCGAAGCTGAAGAAACACCCTCACAATCTTCTGATGGCTAATCTAAACGTCATCGACCTCGGCGTCGTGCTGTTAAGTATGACGTTCTCTGTAGTCTCCATTATTGACGACGGTTATCTACTTTCCAACAATCGAATAGTTTGTAAGGTAAAACCAATGCCAACTTTTTACCATACTCTGTACTACTCCTGACGCAACTTAAACAATAAATAACTTACTTAGTTGAAACAAAGTATCTTATTTTTAAGAAGTAGAAACAAAATTGCTGTTTGTTTCTTTTCATTCTGTACCCTCGTCATTTTTATGCCAATGCAGGTGAGGAAACAAAAACGTTGTACATACATATTTACGTAATTGGAAACATCTTAGGAAAGCAAGGTATATGTAGCTAGGGAATCAATTAAGCCAAGTTTTTTTTTTTAATTCATAATCAAATTAAACTTTTTGCTCACTCTTGAATAAACAATTGAACAAGGACAAACTTGTTTAAAAGTTGCCTTTGGATAACAAATTTGATTCTCCTTTATATTTGTCTTTTTCATTTTCGTAGATGTCGTTATCCAAATCGCTTTATTGAACGGAAAGTATCCCCCCCCCCCCCCCTCTCTCTCATTGTATCCTACAGATAAATGGCTTCTTCGCTATTTCGTGCACCATCGGCAACTTTATTAACGTCATGTGTATCGCCGTTGACCGATACCTCTCCATCGTTTGGCACGCCCGTTTCCCACCAAGTCGCCGTCGGATGTACTTGACGATCGTTTCCATCTGGTTAGTTTGTTTCTTGCTCGGAATGCCGCCTGTAATCGACTATCTAACCACCTATGAATACACTGCGTCAACACATCATTGTTCTCCTGAATGGGACGACTCGTGTAAATACTACATAATCTGGTCCACAGTCATTTTTGTGATAACCGTACCGGTGATGATCATCTGCTATGTATGCATCATACATCATATCCTGAAGAGTGATCGGTTACTCGGCTCCTTTGATACAACAAGAAGAGCCACATATGTGTCCAAGAAATCGTCCGGGTTAAGAGTCCATGGGAACCACCAGAAGAATTCAAGTCTAAAACCGGTATATTTAGAATGTTCATTTCCCAGTGTTTCGATGCAATCGATGACAGTTGTACATAGGCATAGTGTTGAGAAATATACGGACAGTCGTGACTTTGCGTACGGCGCAAAGGAAAACGAGGGATTTCAAAAGGACGAATGTGTTCTTATTAATGTCGTAAAGGATGAGTCCTTTGTTGACAGTATTGAGTCTGGACCGTATGTGATATCCGGACAGATAGATATACAGGCCCCATCTTCTAAACGTTCCGCTGGCGACGGACCCGATGTCGCTCAGCGTCGTTCAACGTTTCGTCGGCCGCAGAATAATCCAGCATCGACCACGAATCCGACTACGACAGACAGTACCGAGACTGGGCGCAGCGTAAGGAAGATGTCGGCACAGAAGCGAACACTGAGCCGAGAGAAACGCGTGGCTTTAACAGGTAGGACACGGTTCTTGGACATTTCTTCCCTAGACAAATATCTTCGAAAAACTATTCCAAGGAAGAGGAAACCTTCTTTGAAAACGCATCATATCCAGTATTTTAAATACCCCTTTTTCTAGTCAGCTAGCTGATTTACTATATCGACCAGCTCCCCCTATTCTAAACGGATAACATTCGTCTTTCCGTACTTACTGAATTAATTGTTTTGACCACCTCTTTCCAATTGGTGATATGAAATAAAAATCAAGGATTTCTCTCATCGGAAATAGAAGTTTGACTGAAAAAGGAATCTGACTTTTTATAAACGGCACACGCTCTATATTTCTAAAAAATCACCAGTTTGGGTTTTTAACAGTCGGTTCGCGGCGGGGAGCTGCGCGGCTCGGCTCGCTATTCGAAATTAGCCACCGTTATTTTGTGCGGTGTTTTCAAATGTGTTGCATCAGGGGAAACATAAAAACTGGTACCTCTCGGCAAGTAAAGATTTAAGGCAAAGTAATGACAGAATAATCCTATCCCATTC